GGGGTAACTTTGCTCGGCTGTTACCAAATGTCAATAAAATACAAAGTCTTGCTACCTCATTCCCCCCCCCCCATCCCACCCCCTCTTCTTCCCAGCTTCCGTAAGCACCATGTTAAAAAAAAATTAAAAGTTGAAGTTGGAGGGGAGTGGAGATGGGGGAACCAGCATCAGTTAATGTCCATAAAGGTTCTGGTTTGGATGTGATAAGCGAAACAATTCTTTAGGTTGCCATCATGCCCAGCGACATCTTTAACAAATCCTCTCCGGTGGGAGGGAGGGGGAGATGGGATGGGGGGGGGGTAGCGGGGAGCCACAAAAAGTCAATGTTGTATATGAAAAAACTGTCATCATTTTAATTCAATATTGACACCCCAACATCTTGCAATAATGAGAAAGGTTCCAATCGAAACCTCTGTTTTATAGCAGTAGAGGAAGGAACTCATAAAACCCTACCAGCTTTTATGTAGTGCGGTATAAACAACAACAACATCCCTGGCTTTATGGCGTTTTATAGTTGGTTAAACAGTTTACAGCCTTTTGGGGGGGCTATTACAAACGCAATTCCCTTCATGGGATAGTTAAACCTTTATCAATAATAAGGAAATTGATCATTAAAATGTTAAATATGACTACCTCGTTTGTTTTAAAATATGTTTAGGATAAGAAGCTGTATGATTTGATAACTTGTATTAAAATACCAATTACATTTATAGGACCTTTTAAAACTGGTAGCAATTAAATCCTGTTCTTTTACAGTTTTCCAAAGCGACCCTGACATTTAAAAAGGCTAAAACTGCCTCGTTAAAATTTTGAAATTAACGACTGAGCGCGCCTCTCTTTGATTTTCCAGCACTCCCCAAAAATCAATCTTTTGGGTGGTCTAGGTATTTGATTTGTTGTGAGGCGAGAGATATCTCATTAATGTAGGTAGTTAAACATATTTAATCCGTATATTCACCCCACCTCTCTCCCTCTCGCTCTCTCTCTCTCCCTCCCTCTCTGGCTTTTCCTTCTTTATTCCCTCACACTCTTCTTTTCACAATCATGCAGTGCAGAGTCCGTGTGGAGTAAGGAGAAGCCAATAGGATGAGGTTTTGGTAATAGATGCAAATGATCATGAAAAGACACTGCAAAATATGAAACAACTCATTTGCGCCGAAGTAAATCACTGAAAACTGTTTATGAACTGGCATCTCTTCTTGGAAATGTAAAGCGAGAACTCTATAAGTGGCGATTTTTTTAGGGGGGGGGGAGCAGGAATTCAATATCATGCAGGCTTAGAGTTTTGATTATATCCTCCTTTTATATTCCTGGAAATCACAAACTGTTGTTGCTTAGCATCTTAGCTCTTTCTGCGCTAATAGATTCCCGTGGTTTTTTAAAAAAAAAAAAATTAAAATGAGCTCTTATTTTGTCAATTCACTGTTCTCCAAATACAAAACCGGGGACTCTCTGCGCCCCAACTACTATGACTGTGGCTTTGCTCAGGATCTTGGAGGTAGACCCACAGTTGTGTATGGACCCAGCACGGGTGGTACCTTCCAGCATCCGACCCAAATTCAGGAGTTCTACCACGGAGCATCCTCTCTCTCCAGCTCCCCTTACCAACAGAATCCCTGCGCTGTAGCGTGCCATGGGGACCCAAGCAACTTCTATGGATACGACCCATTGCAAAGACAGAGCCTGTTCAGTGCCCAGGAATCGGACTTGGTGCAGTACACGGATTGCAAGCTAGCTTCCAGCGGCCTGGGGGAAGAGGCGGAGAATTCAGAGCAGAGTCCTTCTCCGACACAGCTTTTCCCTTGGATGCGACCGCAAGGTGAGGCGAAATAGAAAGGGCAGAGAGGAGGCATTTCCTGAGCCCATAAAGTATCCCCTTTCCACAGTGACTTTTTACTGCTTTATGGGGGTAAACTTTTGCACTTGTAAATTGCTTTATAGTTTAATTACCCTGAAGGAGACCTTTTTCTTCTCCTTGTGGAGAGCTGGGCTTTCAATGTGGGGCGCTTCCCCTAAAGTTTATTGCACTTTTATAGCCTGAAAGCGCCTTCATTTGAGGGTGTTTTTGTGTTTTGTTTTGTTCTGGTTTTGGTTTTCGCCCGGGGTCTAGCTATACACTGTGCTTTGACTACAAAGGAGTGGGGAGAGATTTTTTTTTTTTTTTTTTTTTTTGCAAGTGAACCCATTTTTGCTAGCCCCGCTCTGGGAGAGTGGGTTGTGTGATTTTTCCACCCCCACACGCTTTCCTTGAGAGTTATCCCCCCCACACACACCTTTGTAATATTATAGAAGAGTAGGGTCTGTCTCTGTGTTTGTTTCCTGCCTTTGCTTCTGTGTCTCCTCTCTCCCTTCCTCCCCCCCCCCTTCGCTTTCTATTCCGGAGCCTGGTTTATGTATCTTTCAACCTCCTTCTCTTCTCCCCCAACCTTTGCCACCCCCCAGCAGCCGCTGGACGCAGACGGGGGAGGCAGACCTACAGCCGTTACCAAACCCTGGAGCTGGAGAAGGAATTTCTCTTTAATCCCTACCTGACCCGCAAACGGAGGATCGAGGTGTCGCACGCCCTGGGACTGACAGAAAGGCAGGTCAAAATCTGGTTCCAGAACAGAAGGATGAAATGGAAAAAGGAAAACAACAAAGACAAGTTTCCCAGCAGCAAATGCGAGCAGGAAGAACTGGAAAAACAGAAAATGGAAAGAGCCCAGGAGGTGGATGAGGAAGGGGACGGACAGAAGGGGGACAAGAAATAAGATTTTTAAGAACTGAGAGGCAAGCACTAAGGGTCTGATGGGATCCTGACTCTTACATTAATGGCAGTTAATGTAAGGGGGGGGAGGGGAAACAATGCATAGAAAAGAGGGGGAAACCCTTTTATTGCTGTAAAACAATATAGCTGTAAGCACCCACTTTCCCTGATTGTCCTTTGGTACAATGAACAGTATGCAAAAGAGATCCGGAGGTCTTTCTAGCCTTTCGCCAGTTATTAACTAGTGGTAGTGTATCGCAATAGCTTATGTAAAACATGACTGTGAATTTTCTCTCTCTCTCTCGCTCTCTTCTTTGCTGGGGGGTTGGTTAACTCTGCTTTCAATGCTATAGGAGTTTATGTGAAATTATATTGTGCACTTTTGAACCCTCCTCCTTTTTGTTGTGGTTAACTGTATGTACTGGAGGTAGCTATTGAAACAGACATCCCGACAACATGAAACTGCCTATTTATGCTGTAGTTATCTCTCCTACTCTGTCTCTCCCTCTCTTTTATGATTATTATTTCGTCACTTTCCTTGCTTCTGTTCTTGGGGTTTGGTTCGGGGGTTTGTTTGTTTTTTGTTTTTTTGTTAATTTTGTGTCTCTTCCAAAAGGCTTTTCTTCTTCTTCTTCTTCTTCTTCTTCTCCTCTCTCCTTTAGTTAGCATGCGCACAGTGGAGCAAGTTGTAAAGTGATCCTTAGGTTTACTGTGAAAAAGAATGTATACTGTATACGTGAATTACTTTATGGGGGAACTAATGATATATTTTGTTGTTCTTTCATCACTTTGTTCTATTGTCTAAACCTGGAAGCGGCGGAAGAAAGTTACAATAAAGTTTACAAGCGAGAATCCCGTGACATCATTCTTTTACTCTGCTTCATTTCCTCCAGGACTACTTTGATAGAAAGGAAATAAAAGTCAATTGTGTCAGAATTGCAGACCTTGCAGTCAAAGGAGTGCTTACCCTGTAGCGAGACTGAAGAGTTTAGGTTGCTATTAAGGCTGGAGGAGGCAGAGGCTGAATTGGCTCGCAGGGTTTTTCTTCTTTGGAAGTGTGTGGGGCGGGGGGATGGATTGTTTTGCTGTTGTTTTTTAACAGTTCATATATGTTGACAGATTAGGTGGCTGTGTGGAAATCCTTCCTCAAGGTAAATATTTCTTTCATTGCTTACTCCCAGTTTCCCCAAGATGAATCCCAATCACTCAGAAATGAATCACTCCCCCCCCCCCCCATCCCCTAATCTGTTTGCAGAATTGTCAGTTATGCAATTGAGTGGCTGACATGCTAACCCTTCCTGCTTTGCCTGATATCTTCCACCATGGAACTACTGAAGTGTGTGTGCGTGAGGTTTATTTTCCCTTTCAACAGAACCTTGGAAAGGCGGAACAGCGAAAATCTGAGATGCAGATCAATCATTATCCTCTCATTTCTCAGTAAGGCTTTGATTTAAAAACGAGAAGGGGAGAGAGAGAGAGAGACAGGTTACTTTTTGGAAGATCTCCCTGCTTCCCCAGCAGAAAGCTAAGCAGCCAGCTGGTAACGCTTTACTTATAGTTGTAATTGGCTGCCCTAGAACCGCTGACAAGCTAAACAAGGGATCTGTATAGTCTTTATTTTTCGCAACAAGGAAAGCAAATGCCAGCTCAATGCGCAGCTCAACGCCCGTGGCACGAGAATGAATTAAATATACGGCCGAATAGCTCTTTTTATTTTTTTTTACAAAAACCCTAAAGTATTAGGTATCAATGAGGCATTTGTCTTTTCGGGGCTACAGATAAGGGGGTGGGGGGAAGGGTGTACAGGCTCCTGAAAAACTACGACAAAGACAGTGGAAATCTTATGTGGCGAAGGAAGGAATTTTAGACAGAATCAATAAAGGAATAAAGAGAGCCCCGTTCATTTATTTCTCCCAGCAAAGAGAGAGAGAGAAAGATGCTGTTTTATAACCAAAGTGTTTCTAGCCTCCCTCCCCCCCCCCCTTCGTCTCAGTTGAAAACTGATTACAGGTTGCTTATCGACTCCAGCACAATTCCGCCCCATTCTCGCATAGATCTTGGAGGGTTTATATCACATCCATTATTTATCATATTTTATAAATCCAGCCATACTCTAGTTCTTTTTTTTTTTTTTCCACATTACCAGGAGCCAGTGGGGAAGCTGGCTGCTGATTGGAGCGGGCAAAATCACGTGCCCCGGAGTCACATGGTCAGGGAGGAAAAAGGGGGTCCTTTTTGGTGTAAATCTGGACTCTAATTCCGTAATATATCACGGTACCTCGTAAAACCGACACTAAAACGTCCCGGCCTACAAATCACCCGGCCAAATTATGAGTTCATTGTATTATGCGAATGCTTTATTTTCTAAATATCAAGCCGCAAGTTCAGTTTTCCCATCCGGCGTCTTTCCTGAGCAAACTTCGTGCGCTTTTGCCTCCAATACCCAGCGAACGGGGTATGGATCCGGTTCCAGCGCTTCGTTTGCTACCAGCATGCCTGGGCTCTACGCCAATGGGAGTAGCATGCACCCCCAAACCTCTAGCATGTATTCCACCAGCTACGGCCTGGAAACCAGTTCTTTCAACATGCACTGTTCTCCGTTTGAGCAAAACCTCTCGATGATGTGCCCGGGAGACGCCTCCAAGCAGACTTGCAGCAAAACGGATCAGAGGGACTCAGACTTGCAAAGCGAGAGCAACTTCCGGATCTATCCCTGGATGAGGAGTACAGGTAAGTCAAAAGCCTCCTTAAAGAAAGTCGCCTGGGGGGGGGGTGTAAATTATTTTATGGCGTGCGGGAGGGGTGGGGGGGGGAATGAGGGGAGGGGAGAGGGGGAATTGTCCCCAACTCCTTTTATGACGTTTCGCCGAAAAGGAAACGCTCTTTCGCTCTCTCTCTGCCTTCGAGAGGGAGAGAGAGACACCCCCCACCCCACCCCCATAAAGCCATCCTTTTAGCTTTAAATATTTATTAGAGCGGCTGGTGCTGCGTGTATGCGATGCAAAAGGCAGTTTGTCTTAGTGAGGAAAGGCAGGGCTGCAAAATCATAACCATTAGCTAATTGTCCCCATACTTAACTCTATTTTTTTAAAATGTTTTTGTTTGCTTGTTCCTAAAGAAACTCCGTACAGGCGGCTCGCAGGGTTTTTGTTTTTTTTTTTAAATAAAATTAATTAATTAATTAATTTTGCTGGCTTGTTTAAGATTGCTAGAGCGCTAATTACCAGACCCTTAGCATAACGTCCCAGACAGCGCAATTAAGCCCTGAATGTGACCATTAGTCTAATAGAAACGGCAACACATAATTCCAGTTTGCAATTCAATCCCTGCTTTCAAAATTGTGAAATTGCGGAAGGGGAACAAATAAATAAATAAATAGATGCGGGTCTCGTGTAAATAACGCAGCGGCTAGAATCACTGATTAATCAGGGTCGGCGTGTTTATGCTTTTTCATGGCCTATTTGGAGAAGCTCTGGATAAGGTGCTGGTCAGCGGTAATGGACCTGCATTGGACTTATGAAGTGATCTCATGAAGTGAAGCTGCCTACTTAGCATATGTATTTAAAATACAAATCTGCCTAATGCACCCATCCCGGCTGGCATACCTATATTTCATTCACAAACACGCCTCCTCTCAGCATATTAGTGTCAATTAACATTTAATAAATATCCTTATTCATTACAAGAGATAGTGTTCTGACATACCCTTGGTTTCCCAATAAACTGAATTCATTTCAATAATTAAGAAATGCACTGGTTATAAGGCGTGAAAACGCTGGCCTGTCTCTCCCTCTCTCTCTTTTTGTTGGACGAAATCATTTCTAATTCTTATCTGGTCTTTCTCAGACCACTGCCTAGCAAACTGAAATATTAATATCTCGTTTTCACTCTAAACGCAGGTTTTTAAGAAAAGGATTGCTGCCCCATTGAAAGCAGTGTGGGACATGTGAGCTCATTTCGGTGCTACTAAAAGCCCTGATTTTCCTATGATTTGCCAGATTGCAACTTGATAGCCGCCTGACTGATGAGTTAACTTTAAGCCAGATAGTCTGAACGTGTCTTGGTAGGAAACTTCAGGGGAGAACAAACTCCTGCCCAATGTATGTGCCAGTTGAAGGAAGCCCAATGCAGGCGCTTGAGCAAGCAAGAGTTTACCCTAAACTTATTTGTGGTCAGTATTTTCCATTACCTGCTCCATAATTCATTCACTTTTACAGCTGATGTATCAAAGACCAAATATTTCTGGTTGTGAACACTTCATCTCTGCCTTTCGATTTAAGGATTCCCCACTCCTTCTTTCTAAAATGTGCCACAGGATAACAACAAGGCTAGGGAGGATTTTGAAGTCGTGCGAATATGCTGGATTCCTGCGAAGACAAGCCCTCCAAGAGGCATATTTTGTGGTTTGCAGTGCCTAAAACTAAAACACTACCTGCTCCTAGAGATCCCCCACCACCACCACCTTTGCCCACCGTGTAATTGCGTTTGTGGAATTTCATCCGCGATGGGAAGATAGTATAGCAATTCCCCATTCAGCAACAGTTTATGGCTCTTCCCTCAACAGATTTTACAACCCACATTCCACAGAATTGCACATTTTACTTCCTTGCCCCTTTTACAGCTCGCCTGGCCGTTTTCCTTTTCCTTTCTTTAATAAGTCTTTTCTGCCTTACCCCCCCCCCCCCAAAAAAAAGTCCACTGGAATGTTTTGGATGGATGTCGAGGGCTTGTATTGGCCATCCTGGGTATCAACTGAATAGAAACCACAAACATCATGATGCTGCATAATTATTTCCAATTGAATTCCAGCAAATGGCACGAAAATGTGCTCTGGTTTCATTCCAGTCCCCTTTCACAGACAACTAAATAGTTGCGGGTAATGCCGGATGACTGCCGAGTCTTTGTTTCAGCCTGTTCCCATGTAGATAAAAATATCCTCTTCAAAAACCTCTGGTTATGCAGCCCCATCTTTCTGACAGATTTTTAAAAAAATACCCCACTTTCATCTGGGGAAGTAACATTATCCATGTCAACCACTGCCTGCCCCTTGCCAGTAGACCAGAGCAATGTAATATAGAAAATATTACGTTAAATAATTAAGACCATTGCGCAGCTTACAAACAGGGCTAAATGATGACAGCTTTAACAGAGGACAAATAATTGAAATGGTATATTTAGCAGATGCTTCTATCTAGCTATGGAAAGTATTTATTAATGTATTTATTCCCTGGTTAATGGGAAATTTCTTAGGTTAAAAATAAAAACAAATGCTTTAATATGAAAGTGGTAGCAAACTTGTTGAAGTTCTCTCCCACACAAACACAATCTGAAAATAGGTAACACTTCCCCCCGCTCCCCAGATAAGAAAAATAATTAAATATGCGATGGGTGTGTGTGTGTGTTCTATTAGAATGTTATATTCTTCCAAAAATACAAGGATCGGATTCTAAGTTGTCAGCGCTCTTTTGAGGAAACAACTGGGGATCTGCCGTTGGTGTATTACATAGCTAGGCTATTATGGACAATATCTGGAATATGTTTAAAGAAAAAAACAACCAACCAACCAAACAAACAAAAAGGCAACCCAACAGCTACCCAGAGTTCATTTGATTCTAATTTATTGTTTCACAGGGACTGACAGGAAAAGAGGACGTCAGACCTACACCAGGTACCAAACCCTGGAGCTGGAGAAAGAATTCCACTATAACCGCTATTTGACCAGAAGAAGACGCATCGAAATCGCTCATGCTTTGTGCCTGACAGAGAGGCAGATCAAAATCTGGTTCCAGAACAGGCGCATGAAGTGGAAAAAAGAAAATAAAACTGCATGCACCAGTTCAAATAGCCAGGAAAAACCAGACGCTGAAGATGATGAAGAAGAATGAAAGGGATGGGTTTGGGTGAAGGGGACTTTAGTCCAGAAAGCTAATCCAGGAAACGTGAAACCTAAACATAAAGGACTATATATATATATATATATAAAAATAAATGAAATCAAAATAAAAACAAGCCTAAGAATGGTGCATTCTGTTTCCTGATACTGAAAAAAAAATACTACCTATGTTAGTCTCTCTTTTTTTTTTTGTACAATAGAATGGATAATAATATCTACCTATTAAATGTGGCTTTAGAGTCAGATAGACACATTTTTCTATGTGAGTCTTCATACAGTACAAGTATTTGTAAATCTCCCTGTTTGTATTTCCTTGTGTACTTTTTTGGTATGAAGTAATGTGGCCGTGTTAGCACCTTTAATTAGAAAATGTGATCTGAAAGTATGAAGGGAAATTATACATAGCGTATATAGTACTCTGTACATAATATGAATTATGATGATCGCTTGTTCTGTTGTAACCTCTGTGGTTCTTTTCTGGTTGCGATGCTGTTTTTGTCTGTGTATATTTTTACCTGGACCACTTCCTTGTTCAAGTCATTAGAAAAAATGAATTAATATTGTGCTGAGTAAAGCGGTGTATATCAAGGTAGACGATTATTTAATAGCAGCGAGTTTCTTTTTCCTGGTTTGTGATTATTATTCTTCAAAATAAAAATAATAAAAACACCCACCAATAGTCTAAAACTGTGTTCAGTTCATTGCACTTTTCTTATGTGTTTGCATTATTAGAATTCAGTTGTTTATTTCTGGATATAAAGAAAATATCCCCTTTAATTTCCCCTGATACCTCATCTTATTCGGACCAGATAATTTTCAGCATAACAGTCGTATTTAACATTTTAATGACATTTCTACAAATGTTAAGACTTTAAAACATTTAGCGAAATAAAACTCATAGTCGGGTATAAAAAAACAATTGCCAAGAATATGGATTTGCAGATTTCACTCTTTTCCCTTCCTCCAAATATCTTCAGAGATTATTCTACTGGGAAAAAAGACGGGAAAGGTAAAAGCAGAGAAGCAAGAAACAATAAAAAAAAACCCTATTTCTATATTATATATTGATTCCTGTGACTAATCTGACCCTTTCCCTAGGACACAAGATATTTTGCTGTGGTTTGGGGTTTGTTGTTCCCCCCTTTCGATTGCTTTATCGTGGATTGTAAGTATTTCATTAGCACGGCATAATGTTTAACATCAAAACACACATAAAATAAATGAAACCAATTAAACTCAGGAAAATCAACAATGCAAAACAACGGTAACTAATTTTAAGCACTTGCGAGCATCTCTCTCGCTCGCTCGCTCTCTCTCTCCCTCTTTTTAACATTTCCAGTGTACGCAATAAACGAACGTATTCTTCAAGTAGGAGATGTACGCAGTTCTAGAAATGTGTGTGTAATAGGAATACGAATATAGCAGACCGCGTGGAATTAGGTGTAGCTGTTAAATGGCTTCTTTCTTTCTTTCTTTCTCACGGAAGCTGAAAACATTTAATAAAATATCTTTCTTTCATTTTACCCCCAATACACAACACTTGATTTCCACTTATTAATACAGTGGGATGCCGAAATAAGAATATTAAAGCTTTTAGATAAAATAATGTAACACATTACTAAAAAAAAAAATCACGGTGTTAGGCCACTTACTATATGGATCATATATTATGGCGTTTACACAGAAATCCCACTTGATCAGAGAATAAAAGGTGAAAACTAAATGTTCCCTTATCAAATCCCCCCACTGTCATGTGTTTTCATACACACTCTTTCCAGAGCGAAAACTGGGTTCCAGAAAATTCCTATTGCTCGTGAAAGGTGTCTTGCTGTATTGGGCCAGATCTATTGTCCCTGGGACATGTACCTCTACAGCGACGGGCATCTCTGAATTAAGGATTTTTTAAAAAAATCTTTATTATGCTCAATCTATTGAAGCACATCTTATCAGCGTAGTAGCAAATCTTACAGCCCGCCCGTGATTTCCACACACGAAAATTACCTAGTGTCAGGATTTCCAATTAACGTTCTGAGTGCGTGGTGTGTTGGATCCTAAATACGTAGTGACACATAAATACATAGGGTTAGATTACGTTCTAGATACAGACAGCATTTCTCTTTCAATATATTTGCCTTGCTCTATTTCCAAATTCTCCGACGCCCGCAATGGTTCATTTTCTGTTTTAACAGAAGGATTCACAATTACACAGCTAATAAGGTTAAAATAAAACCCGCTGCTTGAACATCGCCTGTCCTTTAAAAATCTTTTTTTAGCCTTCTGTGTAAGGTCTGATTCTGGCACCTCCATTAAATCCCCCACCAGGGAAAAAAAGAAAAAAAAAAGATCTTTGCATATTCTTATATTTTTGTTTAAAAAATAAAAGATGGCGTCTAAGAAAAAGACTGCCGGTAAAGCAGTCATGAAGAAATGCAATAAATTCCTTGTTGTTTTATGAAAATTTACAACTTTGTGATAGAACTTTATGAGTGGCTGGGTTCTGGGATTGGCCAGAGCCGGTCATGTGGACTGCTAACCGTGAACATGAACTTTTTATGATTTCCCATGTGGTTATATTGCACCATTCTTTTGGCCGCTGTACCTTGGGTCGGATCAGTGTCCTCTATAGGGCTCTTGCTTCTTTACATTGTTTTACTTTCGTGTATAAACTCGAAAGGGCTAAAAGGGGGAGGAGGTGGTGGAGGGGGGTAAACACAAGACACACGCACTCTCACCCCCCAAAAGAGAGCGAGAGAGACTTAAAAGGTTTTTTTATTTTAATTCCTGTGTTAATTTGCCTGCTGATTTTGGAGTCTCAGTAGTAATGGAGGGGAAGTGGAGATTCTGTACCGAGTGGAGGCTGATATTTTTCAAGGAGGGAAGTTACTCCATTTTCTGTGCAAATGACAGCAATGCAAGAAGCTATCACAAGTCAGAGAGACAATCGACGGCTATCAGGTTGGGACAATATTTGTCAGCTAAAAGATAAACAAACGCTACTTGCTTAAAAAAAAAAACTTATACCACAGAAATGGACTTCAAAAGGTAAGGGAATAATATATGTTTCTCTTCATTTGATTTTTTTTTTTTTTTTTTGAGAAAATGCAATTATAAAACTCCCTCTCTCCTCCCCCACCCCAAGAAAGAAAGAAAGAAAGATTAACAGAGACAGTAAGACAGCAATATCACCTGGATATACTGTCTTAGATATCTGACTTGGAAACAAGGCTGCTGTGGTCTTCGGTGACGGGGTCTTTTAGATATTGCCTTAAAAAAAAACTAGCCAAACCCTACTTGGTTTGTTGCCTGGGATATGTTTTATTTTTTACCCCTCCCGAGCAGAATTATCTTGCCATTTTGCCTGTCTTCAGGCGAGCCCAGTAATTTGGCGAAGTTTGCATTGAAGCCAGTTGGGTTTTGTTTTGCTCTCCGGGGTCATTATTACGTGGGTGGTTTCTTCAAAGAGGGCAGTCCACCACAGTCCTGTAGAATAAGGTTCTGGAAACTAGAAAACATAATAAGAATAAGAGCAACTACAGGGCTGCAACGTTATGATTACGTTTATTTTTAAAGTGAAAGTTCCAAATGAACGAGGATGCTGGGAGGGAATGAGGATGGGTGGGTTTCATTGCGTTCTGCAATGCTCCTGCAAATGTAACTCGTCTGTGGAGCTGTAAATCCCTAAATATCGTTTATTGTTTATTTCTGTCTTCCTTTTCCTCCGCTTGCTACCGTGCGGTGTGAAAACATCCTTGTATTTGAATAGCTTCTCCTCTGAACGAAATGGTTGCTTTGGTTTTAAGAAAATACTTCTTCGGTGAGGCACGTCATTTTGAATGTTCCTTTTCATTATTGCAGGACTTAAAAAAAAAGACACATGGCTCCTGTTTTCTGATGCTTTTCAAATAACACAGTATCCGAGGTTTATGCATGGCAAGGGATATTGATTAAGGAAGGCACCAATGAGTTAACCATTAAAAATAGATGACAAGGCGACTTATATCACCCGGCTTGACTATTCCTGCATATTGTAGGGGCAAGAGTAAATGATAGCAACGGTGGAAATAGCAAACAAAAATTAATTTTCAAAAGATATTTTTGAAGGAGCTGTTACGTGTTGATACATAACAGGGAAAAATAAAAGCCAGCTGACGGGCTTTTCCTTTTAAGTCCATAAATGTTATAGAATCCGTGGTTACTGCTGTTCTTTAAAAATAAAAGGGGGGAAAATGATTATTTCATTTCATTTAAATAACATAGTTCCAGAATCTATGTCTGCTGATGTTTTTAAATGCTGTGTGAGAAACCACTTGTAGAACCCAAGAGATAAATGTCACTCCAAGTAAGTCTTTTTAATCACTTTACCCCGGGCACCCTCTAATGTCTGATTGTCTATGAAATCTAAATGTTTTCGCTAGACCATAGATAAGTTGCTAATTAAGGAATTCCTGTAGTTTAAACATCACCTAGCTGTTTATTTTTTAAAACGGAAGGTCTATTTCTCTTTATGTCTTTTCTGTTATAAATTGCTTTCCAGCCCATTTTATGCGGTCTGCTGCCATCTACCGTCCAATGCAAGAAAACTTCGGTTTGCTTAAATATTTCTCGGTGATTAATATCCCTTGAAACTGGTTAACAAATTCCATTTTCTACATTTTTGTTCGAGTAGTGGATTATAAATGCATTGCACGTTTGTATATCTCCTGGAAATGGAACAAATGTGACCTCCCATTTGGTACAGGAACCTCAGACCAGATCCATTTTTATTCTGAGGCCTGCTACATTGCGGAGGATTTCAAGTTATATAAGTTCATTATCTATACGTTATCTATTATGTAGTACAAAACCAAAAGAGGAAAGAAAGCTGGTTATTTCTTGACAGCACACACAGCAAGTGAGCTTGTGAAATGAGAGCCATAATTAGATGAGGAGACAAGAAGGCAGGAGATTTGAGCTAATTATAAAGTCAATGAACTATTTATTTGTTTGTTCGCTTATTGTTTCGAATGATCATTTTGGAGTGGTCTGTAAAAGGTAGGTCTAGTGGTGTGCACTACACTGAGGTGATGGTTGGGGCGGGGAGCAGAGGGTGAGAGCCTAAGAGGAATCCCTTTTAAGATACAGTAGGCTTTGAAAGGACAATGCAAGCCTGTTATTTTAAAAGCTCTCTCTCTCTTTCTCCCTCGTTTTCTCCTACTACCACACAGTTTCCTGGCAACTGTTTATGTCTAGACTAGGGACATTCCCCTATATGAAAGTGAGATGCCCAGAGACTATGTTAAAATAAATAAAAAGTTTCTCCTTTTGACTAATAACAGCCATGATTAACTTGTTCCATTCTGTAACTGCTCACACTCTGTAGCATTCTCCAAGCAACCTACATGCTTCATGCTTTGATTTCTCTTCCACCCGTTTCTGTTCCCCTATTTTTAGTTTCCCTAGCAAGATTTCTTTCCCCTTAACCCTCCCAGGGTTTCCTTTAGCGGAAATAAGGTAATATGGATACATTTTTTACTACCCCAAGGTCCTTCCCGCAACCCCTCCTCTCACTTTTTTTTTTGTTAATTATTAGCTGCACTGTTTAATGGAACAATGGTAGATTATTATTGCTTCTTTTCAAAGATCCCATTAACGAGGTTATTATGCACTGCACGGGAAGTCAGGTAAATTAAACTTAAATTGCTGGAAATTAAGTTTCAAATGGTTATGTGCGGATGGAGAGAGAATTATTTTTTAAACACCTTCAGGGGTCATTGTTTTAAATATGCCAACAATGTAGAAAAAAAATCCTTATGCCGTTTTTCTAATAGGAATTTGAGTGAGGTTGTATATTACAAGAGCAATCTCCTCCTCTGTTAATAGCTTTATATGTCTAAATACAGTAACAAGGCTTTTCAAGTGTTGTCTTAGTGTTAGCTTGACTTTATGGCTGCAATAAGTCCCCTGATTGGGAAGGTCCTGCTGTGTTGTCACTTCAGAAGGCTTGAGAATCCCAACTCGACAGGAAAAAAAGGCGACCCGTTTTTTACTGGGACCAGCTCCTCTTAACTTTCCACAAAGTTCTTAACTAGCTTAGCTTTTATACAAGCAATGCTCTGTTCTGTTTGCATTTCAAAATATTTGTGCGCTGTTTGAATCCCCTCATTTATCTGCCTCTCTCTCTGCTTTGTGGAGTTGGCATTTGCTAGCAGAAGAGCAAAAATGGAGAAAAAAGCCCAGCCAGCACTCTCTGAGCCAGAGAGCTGCGAATGTACATGCTGTAAATAAATCCCTTTAATCTTTATTTATACCCTGCCAGTCGAGTTATGTCAATCAGTAGGGAAAGATGGATTCTCAGTGCTAAATGAAACATTTTATTCCTCCTTATGTTGTCTCTTGCAACTACACTGACTAGTGGTTTCTTTTCTTTTTAATAAAACCAAAGACTTCTTAAGTAAACGAGGCCCAGTTCTGAATGAAAATATGCAAAGAAAATACAGTGGAAGACACAGTGACCACACTGCAAGCTGTATCAGCAACCGATATGTTAAGGTCTCTATGTTCCACTCCCCATGCCTGGTTGCCTTTAGAAACATCCTTAGGCAAAATATTTTCCATAAGAAACCCCGCATAGATTTATCTTAAAAGTTTAGCAAGCAACTCAGGGTATAGCCCAAGCATCTTTCTAAACAAAATTAAGATACCTTTTGAAAAAAGCTATTCAGATGATATTAGAGACCAACTTGACACTAAACACACAATTCTAGCTAGTGATCGAATGCATTCTGAATACTCTGCCGCATGTTACAGATGGTAAACTTGCCATCTTGCAGGTCTGAGTATATGGATGATGGACACTTTAAGATCTATATTTTTTTTCCAAAATGGAACAAAAGCTTAATTCAGGTTTTATACCAAGTTTTCTTCTTTTATATTTCTACCACTAAAAGTCCATAAATATTAAGTGAAGCGCTATCTTCCTTTAGCAGGGCGCGGCATATTATTCCAGCCTAAATAACACCTCTAAATAATCAACAATAAGCAATTAGCGCGAGGCGAGTTTCAATTAGTGAATTTTATTTTTTTCTTTCACAATAAAAATAAAAATTACTACAGACAAAAGGTAGGACAAGATAGCCTTAGCCACAAGCATGCTAAATTGAGCTGTGTTTCATAGAAACGCTACATCACCATGTGTGGGGGAAACAGTCTTTAAACATGCTTAGGGAAGAACATTTTCACAACTATCATCATTAAAAAGAAGTAAAGAAAACGTTTTCAGCGATTTTACTCACTCATTTAATTATCAGGAATTCATACTTCATAGCCCAGATTCCGCATGCTGTGCAAATCATCCCAGATGTTCCTGATTTTACTCTTACATAAATTTTGCGTAACTTTCTAATCAAATGCCTGAGCGTTTGCCTCCTGCAAAGCAACTAACTTCATTGTGTTCAATGGAGGTTGTTTTTTTCTCCCCAATAGACAGTCAAGTTTCTCTTTTAATCTCATGTTCCCATGCCAATAAAACAGATCTGCGTAGGTTTGGGTCCACTCCATACACAAAGGAAAACTCTGTAAGAACAAATATAATAGATATCAGTCAGAAAGGAGGGGAGAAAAACTACTTCCTTTACATGTTATTTCCTTGAATTATAAAGATTACGCTGAGTCGAGTGCCCATTGCAGTGATGGCATGAAGTAGGCTTAGCTTTACAGCTGTAAACATGTTTAAAATAAATTAGCTCCTAATAAGATAACAGTTTCCTAAATACTTAACCCCCATCAGGGAGAATAGGCATTGGAAGTTCTGCAGTGATCATGTAATTATGTGTAATTCTAGACCAGGAGCATACACAAACGTGTATTCATACATACAGGTGTGTACCTTGTGTGGTGTATAAAATTCACTGCATATGATAGACAGGTAGATACATAGTGGGGTGTGTATGGGGATAGATAGATAGATAGATAGATTAGATAGAAGTTTAGAAATGCACCTTAAACCAATCAATTTTCAATTTTATTGTTGAGGAAGTTTCTGAAGGATATGACAATTTCCCACAGCTAAAATGCATAGCAAAATATTTAAATCCAACCAGATCTTCCGCGTACAGAAATCTGAAGAGGAGGTGACTAGCCATTGAGAAACACACCTACAGCTAATGAATAAAAGCAGAAACATGAGCCACCAGCCCAGACCAAACTCATTTCATTTGGTCTTTCGCCCCAGTTTGAGAAAAAAAACCCGGAATTTCGAGGTTATTCCTAAAGAGGTTTAAACTTTTTTTTAAAAAAAATAGGGACCTCGTAGTGGGGCCAGACACAAATGGAAAGGGTGATAAAATATGAAAGCAGGATCATCGCTCACCTTATAGGCAATAGACACGCCAAACAACAGCCTTTAAAAAAAAAAAATCTTGATCAGTGACAATCAATAAAGACACTTCTTGACCGTAACCGAATGCTGCCTTTAACTGCAAAGGGTCGCACAAAGATTTGGTATTAACAATAAAACGCAAGAGGGCACAATTCGGTACATATATCTATATCTCTGTAAGTATTTAGTCCGGAATAAAGGTAATACTTCAATTCCCATCCATCTCATAGATTTGTAGCTCTTTCACAAAATAAATACGAAGCATAGAATTTGATGAGGCAGGCGAATGATACTTTAAAAGGAAGCCTCTTCTCTGTCAATCTATGATAATTAGATAACCATGAGAAATAAGTTACCAACATTGACTTCTCTTCTCTCCCCCCACCCCCGCCACCACAAACACACTTCCCATCCTAAACCCAGGCTAATTAAACAAATGAGACCTATTTACCCCACCCTCAATAACACCCCTCCCCCCAAAAAATACCTAAAAGTTTTTTTTATGTCAAAAAAAATATCCTAGCAATATTACCCGAATGGTCTGCAATCAATAACAGGCACCAGGGGTTAAACTTTTCAGAATAAAGGGATTTAACTTTTTTCTCTGTGTGTATATATCTTTATATCCATATCTATCGCTCTGTCTGTGTGTGTGTGTGTTTGGTCTATTTTTTAATTATTGTTTTAAAGACTCCAAACGTTTGGGGATTTATCTTTCTCAGATAATACGTATTTGGTTAAGGGGGTGAGTTTTGTTGTTTAAAAGCGAGGAAAAAGAGGGGCTGGGTGGTTTGTTCTGGGGGTCCCCAGTGCAATGCAAGCCCCTCATGGGTGCTATTTTGTAATCTCAGACTCTTGCTATTGGTCAGTCCATGATCAGATGGTTCTATTTCCTTGTGTCCCTCGCTGGCACCCAGCCATCCCCCTTCAGCTAAAACCCAATCTCCGATATACTACTAATAGCTAAACCACTTGGACTATAAAACACAACAAATCATAAAGCCAGGAAAGGACGGCTGCCTCCTCCCAATGAGTTCTTATTTTGTCAACTCTACCTTCCCGGTGAGCCTGGCTGCTGGGCAGGAGCCCTTCCTGGGACAAATCCCGTTATATGCCTCAGGATATGCGGATCCTTTAAGACACTACCCCGCTACCTATGGAGCCACTAGCGTCCAAGATAAGGGTTATCCCTCCTCTTCTTATTACCAGCAAGCTAACGGAGCTTACAGCCGGACCACAGCCTGTGACTATGGGTCAGCTGGTTTTTACAGAGAGAAGGACCCTGTCTGTGCCACCTCAAACCTAGATGACCAGGTTCAGTTTGCCCCAGATCAGCGGAAGACAGACTGCGCACAGAACAAAACTGTTTTCGGGGAAAGCGACGACCAGAAGTGCTCCACTCCCGTCTACCCCTGGATGCAGCGGATGAACTCTTGCAATAGTGAGTTACTCTTTTTTTTAAAATCTCTCTTTATTTATTTATTTCCCCCCCCACCCCCCCACCTCCCTTCCCCCTTTTCTTCTTTGCAAAAGAAACAGGAAAAGCTTAGTTGAGATCCAGCTTCCAGCCGGACGAGTCAGGCAAAGTACGAGACTCAAAGTTGTTTCTGACACAACCCCAAACTTTATGGCAGTCTTTTTCCTCTATCCCAGTTCTTTAGCCAGATCCTTTAAGAAGAAGAGAGAGAAAAAAAACAACAAGTTTGTGCCATACTTAGAGAGGCACGTATCTTCTTTCTTTTTGCACGCTCTAATTCGTATGTCACTCAGTTACAATGATTTATCTATCTCTGTGTCTTCTACACATACAGAGAGATATCTATTCACAAAAAAAGGACAGGATGACTTCACATACCCCCACCCCCACACACCCACCCTTTCTGGAGTTAAATAATGTAAAAGTCTTTAAATATTTGAAAGGCGAGAACTACATTTTTAATGAAACTCACCCATAATGAAAAGTCTGCCTGGAGAGATTTTTTCTCTCTGTGATGTATAGCTGGTTTAAGTGCTATCTCTTCAATCCGAAAGAAAGAAAGAAAGAAAGAAAGAAAGAAAGAAAGAAAGAAAGAAAGAAAGAAAGAAAGAAGTCATAGGGCTTCCATGTTTACATTCATTATTTGTTGCCTTTTAAGTTCCAAATTGATGTCCATTAGTGCAGGGACATGAAGTGTTGTATCCCCTTTAATGCACAGAGTTTGTCTAGATCGATACACTTCATTATTGCTTAAATGCCCAGATCTATTACTGCTGCCGGTAGGGAGGAAAAATTGAAAGGTGTGGGGAGGAGGGGGGGCACCTTGAGATTTTACATAATGGAATAAGACAGATCTAGCAATCTCTTCAAAGCACGGTCCTGGACTATCTGGCAAGTTCTGCATTAACCCTCCTGCCCAGGTGCCCGTGGAACTTTCTTGCCTTTGAGCTAAGCAGCAGGAAGAAGCAGCAGGCATTGCAGAAACCCAAGACAAATTAGCAACTCTTTCCAAGGCGAACTAGCAAGTCAGGAGGTTTGCTAGAGGGCTGGCTTTGCCAAAGAAAGGAGTCTTGGGCACTTTGGCTAGATGATTTTTGGTTGGTAAAAGTATTTAGCGGGGAAGGCAAAGGAAGCAAAAGACCACACCACCCCTAAACACACACCCTTGATTAGAGTGCTAAGTGGCCGGCTCCCTGGCATTATTACGCACCTCTTAACTAGAATAAACCTTTGGGTATTTTCTCCCCCCCTCCTTTCCTTGCCTAACAGGTTCATCTTTCGGGCCAAGTGGCAGGAGAGGCCGTCAAACCTACACCCGCTACCAAACCCTGGAACTGGAGAAGGAGTTCCACTTTAACCGCTACTTGACCAGGCGCCGCCGGATCGAAATCGCACACGCACTTTGCCTGACAGAACGCCAGATCAAAATCTGGTTCCAGAACCGGAGGATGAAATGGAAAAAGGAAAATAAACTGCTCAACTCCACGCAGCTGAGCGCGGAGGAGGAGGAGGAGAAAGCAACGGAGTGAAAGTATTATTTAAGAGAAAGAGAGAATATCCCAACAGTTGGAGGAGATAGAGGGTGGAGGGGGGGGAAAGGGTTGGAGTGGAAGAGAAAATGCACCCCAAGTGGTGCACGCTTTGTAAAATAACCGAGACGGTTTGAAGGTGGCGAGCCACCACCATAAATTTGCACCGTTGGACTCGTGTTCCGTTAATCTGTCGTGTCAAAAAACAAAAACAAAAACAAAACAAAAAAAAACAAAACAAAAAACCAGGCTTCTAGTTGAGTTTTTTTTTCCCCTTTCTATTCCTCCAAATATAATATAAAATAAAATAATAATAATAATTTGGAACTCTTACCTGTGTTTCTACCCTTGGTGTCACTGTTAGTAACCCGCTAACTCTTGTATTTAATGGAGGTGCTGCAATATATGTCATTTTTGGTGTTAATTGTCTTAATTTTGTAAAATGTTTCATGCACGATTGACTTATAGATTCCCCCTTCCCCGGTTGCTTTTCTTTTGGTAAATTAATCAGACCCTGGGCTCTTTGTAATTAGTTTCATTTTTTAAAGAGAAAACCTACTGAAGGAACAAGTGCTACCTAAAAGGATGCAAAAGCAACAACAAGAAAAAATATATTTTATTAATTTTTGTACGTGCTGTGATTGTAGTTTGTCTTAGGTATGGCCATGGAATACTCTAATAAAAGCAAAGTATTCGGACTCATCCACACCCCTTTGGTATTATTATCGTTATTATTATTCCTGTCTATGAAAATATGCCATTCATGTGGAGCTGAGGGGTTGTTAGCAAAGCAGGCGCTGCTGCTGTCTGCGTGTGACACTCTCTTCTAATCAGCAAGGACAAGCACCCATGCAGGATACGGAAGTTACAGTTGAGAGATAAATCTGCTTTTCCCCCTTTTTGCCTAATCTTAAATGCAGGACCTTTCACCAACGATATCTCCGAGCTGACATTCTGCTTTAAGATCGCTCTTGTTTATTGTTACAGTCAAAAGAGTTATGAGGAAAAGCTCTCCATATACATAATAAATCAAAGAAAGAGGCAAAAATATGCTCTCGTCTATCTACCAAAGATACATAACGTTTGTCTAGCATCTTTCAAACATCTGGTCCCTTATTTCACTTTCCAAAATCAGGGAGATGTGCATTGTAGACATGTACATGTGGTAGGTTTCAGACTTGTTTTGTTTTTAAATTATTTTTAGTTGAAACTTTTTTCACTCCACGACGATGGGAATTATTTAAGCACGAAAAAAACAAACAAACCCCGGTAAGCTAAGTACAGTTAGATTGTTTCATGTATATGTACACACACCCACACACACCTTTCAGATGGCTCTCTTTACAGTGTCATTGGACTCGGAGGCTGTGAAGCTGGGCGTTATGTCTCTTCTGCGCTAAAGAACTAAGAGGTGTCTTGTAGTTGCAATGAAGTAAACTTTTCTTTGATTTTTTTTAATTAAAAAAGGAACCAAAAGAAGTCCTTTTCTTCTTGGGATCAGCAGATTTACAACAAAAACTTGCTCAGCTCAATGCTAATAAAATGTCTGAAGCTTCACGGGAGAAAACATGCCTTTAAAAAGAACTACTCCTTTCCCCCCACCCACCCAAAAATACCTATGTATGGATGCATTCCCTCATGTCACAAGCTGTTTTAATGCCAGTCACTTTTAAAATCAATTCATGCAGAAGCTCCAAAGCTGTAGGACATTTACTATTATTGCCACTCTTTTCATTGCCTGTAATTATTATAATTATATGTCACTTTCAATATGGCGCATAATTTCCAAGGAGTTGCAGACAAGCACTTGAAATTCCTAAACTGCCTGGGGAAAAAATAGCAGCCTTGCACAAAGCAAAACCCTGGTCAAATTTCAGGTTTTCAGGGCTACCTAATATTTCTTGCAGGTTTGCCTATGGGGGAGAAAGGGGGGTAGAACAATGTTCTATTTAAAGGGAGTGTGTGTGCGGGGGGCTATTCATGATCAAGAATATCTTAAAAGCAACATTGTCAACCAGTTTCAACGGCTGATCTCCCTTCCCGTCTCTTTTTTCCACACATACAACCCCCCCCCCCTCCAGAATTACAAGGTGTTACTGTGTATTTGATAATATGATGAGAAGGTGAAGAAAGCCAAACTTTCATTGTGCCAATGAAAATAAATAAATTAAATAAATAAAGCACACATGGTTTTCTTTCAGCAGGCTCCGGTTTTTCTCCATACACCCCCCCTCCCCAAGATATGCAAACACAGAACCTCCAGTTCCAAAGGTGACTTATCGTCCCCCTTCACCCCCTCCCCCCCCACCAATGCCATTATTATAACAGAGTGGCGATCATTTAATGAAGATAACAACCCCCATGCAAAGAGCACACCACGAAAACAGATTCCCGGGATGAAAATGGGGTATTTGCGCATTTTTTTTAAAAAAGTATTAATATACGAAGAGTGCAAATTGCCAAAAAATGACTTTATTTTTTTAATGAAGGGTGGGTAGCCACCCTCCATGCCTGCTAAGTCACCGTGTCCCCAGTAGGTGGCGCAGTCCGCCAACATGGAGCCATCTCTCTCTCTCACGGATTTTTTTTTTCTTTTTTTTTTTTGAAGCCTTGCATTGACTTGGGCCTAACGATTCTCAGATCGTCATTATTTGTAACCATAGAGCATGAATTACCTCTTGAGGTCATCAGTGAGAATTTACGACTGGTCAACAAAAGCACGTGATTACCAAACGCACCCCCACCCCCCATATTTGGCCGCATACATAGCAAAAACGAAGTACAGTGCATTGCTATAATTCATTAATACATCATAAATCGTCAAGCACAGGGTTATAACGACCACGAGCCACAAATCAAGCCCTCCAAAATAACCCAAATGAGCTCTTACTTTGTAAACTCGTTCTCAGGGCGCTATCCAAATGGCCCCGACTATCAGTTGCTAAATTATGGGACCAGCAGTTCTATGAACGGTTCGTACAGAGATTCAAGCACCATGCATTCCAGCTCTTATGGCTACAACTACAATGGGATGGACCTTAGCATCAACCGCTCAGCCTCCTCTAGCCACTTTGGGGCTGGGGGAGAAAGCTCCCGCAGCTTCCCTTCGCCCGCTCAGGAGAGCAGGTTTAGGCAAGCGTCTAGCTGTTCCTTGTCCTCTCCCGAGTCCCTGCCCTGCTCCAACGGCGACAACCATGGAGGCAAACCCGCCCCGTCCCCCTCCGACCAGGCTACTTCTGCCAGCACCAACACAAATTTCACAGAAATAGACGAGACCAGCGCGTCTTCGGGAACCGAAGAGGGCACCCAAATAAGCAGCAACATTATTCCCAGGGCACAGGCTGAGCCCGTCGCTACATCCACAGCAGCCACAGAAGGGCAGACACCACAGATATTCCCGTGGATGAGGAAGCTTCACATTAGCCATGGTACAGCTGCTTTTTTTATTTTCTCCCTCCCCCCCTTTTCTTTCCCCTCCCTTCTTCTTTTTTTCTTCCTTCCTTTCTTCCCCTGGCTTTATTTGAAGGCGCCTGCTAAGTAATCCAGCTATTTATCGCGTTGTATTTATTTATCTGATCGTTGATTTAAAACAGAAAACTGCCTTTGATGCTTGTTGGGGGGGGGGGTGATTTGTAACCCCTGCCGCTAAATGTGAGGTTATTTAATATATATATATAGAGAGAGAAAAAAGGGTAATTTAAAACTGCGGGGGTATTTGCGGATGGGGGAGGGAAAGTGGGGGGAGGGTGAGGAAAAGGAAAGGAAAGAACTGATCATTAAAACAGGCTCTCTATGCACAGATGGGGCTCCCAATCCTTTATTTTTACGTTTGGTGTGTGTATTCTTGACAATCTGCTCATTACAAAATAAAAACCAGGAGTAGATCCATTGCACCGGGAACAGGGTTTTTTGTTTGTTTGTTTGTTTGTTTTGTTTTGTCTTTTTAAGGACAATATTTAACAGATCCAAGCACACAAACGTAGGAGGAATTATTAGGGTTTTAGTCTGCGAGGTTAAATTGTGAATACTGAATTGTATATGCCGGAACTGGGCGATGGAGGGAGGGGGATCTTACACGTGGGGGAGGGGGTGTTATTTTGAAATTACCAAGTGAACGTTCGTGATTGTCCGGGGAAGGTTAATAATTTGCCTTTTTTTTTTTTTTCAATAAAAATCAAACCAAACACCAATGTTGTCCGTATTATCCAGACATGACTGGACCAGACGGTAAAAGGGCAAGAACCGCCTATACTCGCTACCAGACCCTAGAATTGGAAAAGGAATTTCACTTCAATAGATATCTCACCCGCAGGAGGAGAATAGAAATCGCCCATGCTCTGTGCCTCTCCGAAAGGCAAATTAAAATCTGGTTCCAAAACAGAAGAATGAAGTGGAAGAAAGATAATAAACTGAAAAGCATGAGTGTAGCCTCCGCGGGCAGCGCCTTCCAGCCATAAATTATAGAAAAGGAATATCAAGGAAAGAAAGAAGAAGGCGAAGAAAGGGGGGGTGGGGAGGGAGAAACAGCTGCAGATTTTAGTTTCAGAGTACTGTACAGGAAGGCACCTTTTTTCGGCATGTTGTTGATATTTTAAACAACTCCTATGGTACTGTTATCCCAGGACTGCGTTCCTGCTGTGTTTTAATTTTATTTTTTAATTATTATTATTATTAATTTTTTTTAAAAAAAAATTCCAGATGCTCCTCCACGCTCTTGATGTTCTTATAAATGTTTGTGACAGTGCTCTCTTGATGCTTTCTGGAAAGCTAGCATGTTTCATGTGAGCCCTTTAAATGTTATAACTTATTTATAAATTGATAACAGACACGGTGGTTTGTTTGGGGTTTGGGTTTTGTTTTTTTGTATCTGAGTTTACAGCTATTGGGCGGGAGGGGGGAATTTATTCTCTGCCTAAGCTAAAGTCGGGATTCCTGCGCTAAAATAGCAGGGGGGGGGGGAATCAAAAAACTGTAAAGAAAAAAATAAAAAGCAAAAAAGCTCTTGTATCTTTTTGTCTTAAAAATTGTCGAATCTGTGGTTTAGTTCAAATGTAAGGCCATGCTTTCTAGTCCCAGGCTAATTCTGAGACGTGTTCTTAGACGTGGGTAAGCTTCACTATTAAAAAAAATGTATAAAATTGGACCAACCATAAAGTGTTCCAATGTCTGTAAATACTAGGAATATTTCTGATGTGATTAATAGACAGTTGGTAGTGGGCAGAGTGAATGCAGTGTTATGTGTAAAATGGCATCTGTCATGTCTAGCTGCCTGTTAGTATTTTGCCAATAAGCTTTTTGTATTTGTTTTGTAGCTTTAATTCAAGTCAAATAAACATTTCTCCTATTCACAAAGGCTCCCATTCGTATTTTCTACACAACGCTTGAGTCTTAACGCTGAGAGTTCGCAGTGCATTCTAAACACGACTGGCATTGCTGTGTTAGGAGCATTTGAGAAACACTACGCACTCTTCGCTCTCCTGCATAGCACTTTGGAAACTCTCAGAAGCCAAAAAATGCAAAGTTCACATAATAGAATCTCATTGCTGAGGAGGAAAGCAAATGCTTTCTACAGAGGAAATGCAACCTGTCAAGTTTCCAAACTTTGTTTCGTCAAAAAATAAAAATAAAAAAATACCAAATATCAAATAACGCAGGCTGTTTTAAAGTAGCTTAAGTTACAATAACAAGATATAAATGTTTTGCAAAATATATTTATGTGCATTTGAGGAACGGGCCTATATTACTTTTTGAAAAATAAAGAGATCTATCTATCTATCTATCTATCTATCTATCTATCTATCTATCTATCTATCTATCTATCTATCTATCTATCTATTCATGCGCTCGCTAATCTATAAACACCCCTCCACCCCTCACCCTCAATCTCATGAGCATACTGTTTTTATATCCTACTTTCTGGCTCAACATGTAAATAACAGTTCTGTAACTACTGATAGTCACTACAAAGCTTCCTTTTCGCTGCAAATAATTTAACATAATCAAAGGTGGTAAATGTTTCTGTTTTGCTATCCAGGGTTTCTTACAAGGCACAAGATACTTCAGTTAAAGTCTCTCTGTTGGCAAAATGCGACTGACATATTTATAATATAGTTCAGATTTTTGCTCGTATTAAGTAAAGTTGGATCTTATAAACTTACCAAACTTAATCTCCCACTGTTTAGGTACTTCTTAAGTGATTTTGAGAAGAATGTGAGGTGGACTGTCAGATCCAAAACCATTTGCTCGCCTTCCCTTGATATATAGCTCTCTCTATATATATTTTTACCAATAGCAAACTATACCAAAAGTAGGTATGACATTTAGATGTCAAATGGATAGGGTTTTATCTAGAAGTTAGATCGTAAAAATCGCCCAGACCTCAGACAGATACCCCTCACTGGCTCTCAAAAGTCACGTGAGGTCCATAAAGTTAGTTTTATGGTTTTGGGGAGTTGACAATGTACAATATATTTCACATTCTCTAGAATGTTAAGTGACACTTTAACTGCTTGGTTTGGCTTGTAAGGGGCAGAAATGGGTGAGCACTTTTCCAGATGAGATAAACCCTTGCAATTGCTGGTATCATAACTTTCCTGGTCCAGTGTTCAGTCCAGAGGACCAATAGTTTGGGCTCCTGAAAGTAAGTCCTTCTGAAATATTATCTGATTAAACTATTTTAAGGGTTATATTGCTAAAGATTGAGCGGGATGAAGGAGGAGGATCTCTCTCTCTCTCTCTCTCTCTCTCTCTCTCTCTCTCTCTCTCCTCTCTCCAAAGCTTTATTTCTCACTCTGAAAAGTCCAAATTCTTACACTCCCTAGATTTGACGTTTCATTAGGTCTCAGGAAAGCTCTGAGGCCCATATGCAAGCAACGTAAACTTTGTGGAACGAGGGGAAATAGAATTCCTTAAAGATTAATTACGATTGCATTGCAAAAGCCATCCAATCTTTGCCTAGGGGCATATGTACTTCAGACAAACTTTGTTTTATTCTTAGCCACGTCAATAGAGAGTCAGTTATTGGAGGTTGCGTTGGTGAGTTTTATACTGATCACAGTCACTAGCAAATATGGGCCAAGCTTTGGCATTTCAAGGCTCCTGATGTACGTTTACATTCTTGGTTTCATTCACACCCTTTAAGAATTTTAGTTCTTTTTTCACCCTGAGTTGCAAGGAAAATTTTTAGCCTTTTTCTTGGCCTGGGTATAGACCAAAATATTCGTTCTAGGCGTTTTTTCTTTCTGTAGACAGTATCCTAATAGTTCCCTGGTTTGTTTGTACAATGTGTGGACACTGGATTACTGTCCTTATGTCTTTCTTCAGTATGCCTTTAAGTGACTACAAAAATAATACAAATCAAAAAATCAAGCATGCTGCTGTTTGCATAAAGGGGGTGGATTCGATTAACTTTAAACCCTATATGTGTCAAGTATATGTATTCCTAAGGTATTGTTTCTGCTTTTATAAAGAAGGGACAGTTCTAAAAAAAACCACCCTCATTAAAACAGCTTTTTCTTTGAGAAAATAAGCAAGTTATCAGAGAAGGGTGAAAAAGAGATGCACTGAGTATTTACCAGGGCTGGGACATCAGCTAGCGGTGGCAAAGTCCTGGTGAGGTGTCTATTTTCCTTTACGTTTGTAAGGCTAGAGCCCAAAACGCCTGTCACAAAGTCGCGTTCAGGAATCTTAACATGAAACACTCTGTTCAATTGCATCGAGCCTCGCTAAATTTAGACTGAAAAGATTTTTAACTAACGGGTTTTCCCACCCCAATCAGAATGATTTTTTTTTTATACCAGCACAAACAAATCCTCTGAGAGCTGAGGGCTGCTTTTTTAATTATTTTTTTGAACTCTAGGGATTTACATTTACACTGGGGGGAAAGATTCTATATTTGCCCGCTCACATCTGTAATTCTGTTCCTGTATCTTTAAAAAGCTTAAAAGAAAATATACTGAGAAGAGGGATTTTTTCCCCCTTGGATCCCAGAATGCTGCAGCAGCCACTAAACGTTCCATTTCCCCTCTTAAGCCGTTTTTTTTTTTTTTTTTTTTTTTTTAATGGTAGAGCAACATTTGGTGGACACATGTCCGTCTCTTTCACACAGAGCAAAAGAACGCCACCATTTTGCGCAGTTTGGGATAGTTTTTCCTTCCTTGGGCTGTTTTTCCTGTCCTGGTCCATGGGTCTGATGTTATCTTTATTGGCACAATGTCAACTTCTAGATTCTATCTGACCCAATTGACTGACTATCCTAGAACTCCTGACTAATATTCTGATACAAAATCAAAATTCTGGCAAGGGAGACTTGGGTGATTGGGGGTGGGAGAGTGATAGGTAGTTGAGTCACTTTAATTTTAACATCCTAATCTGATTATCTAACCGAGTCTATGCTTCTTTATAAGTTCATAATAAAGACATTTGCTGGCTTCTAGACACTTGAATGGAATTGGTCTAAAGTGTGAAGTTTGCAACCAACACACCACAAATTACAGAAATCTTGCCTACACAGCAAGATAAATATTTACTGAAGGTAAATAGGGTGTAGGTATGATGGGGTGGTACCAAATTACTGACCTGAACATTCTTTAGCCATCTGGTTTCTACTGATGTTAAGAAATAATGTTGACTGATGCAATTGTTACCAGCAAGCTAGGTGCGTATTGTCATTCACCTACGGTAGTACCTGAATGACAATGTAACTGCAAGGAAATATATATTTGACAATGACAATGTAACTGCAGGGGAATATATATATCTCCAAAATTTTTATTCTATCTATCTATCTATCTACATTTGGATTAATGTCATATTCCCATATCCTGATTCAAAAGGCAAAAAGGTTACACATTAGGGTTTCAGTATTTGTATATTATCCCAGTCAAACTTTCCTTTAAAATCAGGTCTAATGACCCAAAGCATATAATATATCAACTTAAACTACCACCATTTTTAATTACATGGAATATGCAACGTGTTAATGGGATGGAAAGAACAATCAAAGAGAGATAGGATACATAGAAAGTCCATCTTCACTTAGAAATGCAGACTGAGCCCCAGGTCGGTTTATTCTTTCTGCATAATCTTCCATATCATTACACTGATATTAAGAAGTTTATTTAGCACAGGTTAAAGCAGAATGGAAACAATGCTTGTATGATTTCCATTTTTATCCCAGTCAGTCTTTGCTACAGTAGCAGGTAACCCCATTTATTTCAGGAATCTCAACCTTTTACAAAAGTTTGTAGTAGGTATGGGACTGGGCCTTATTACATCACCTAAGCATGTTTGAGAAATTATATTCCTGTCATATTAAAATCATGTCCCCTTCTTCTGCACTTTAAAAATTCCTGCTTTCTACCTATATTGCTTTCTCTGTCTCTTACAGGCTGGGTTTATTTGTGTAGTTCTAGTCTCCCCAGCTTCCTGTGTGGCTAATGTGTACAACTGGCTACAACTTTATAGCAAGGAAGGATTCACAGGCTCAGAATCTCCCCCCCCCCCCCCCCCCCAGCGGCCCTGCGTCCTTAAAAAAACCACCTCCCTTTGCTGGTGAACTGAGGAAGTATAAGGAGAGGAAACAGGAAAACAGAGCTCTGACCGTTCAGATTGGCGAGGGTTTCCATTGCATTTTTCATCCTTTCCCTCCCTTTAATGGTATGCATCAGACAGTGGAACAATTAGTTCTTCAGCAGCTGTAAAAGATAGAATAAATATGAGATATTTTAATACTCTCTCTCTCTCTGTGTGTGTGTGTGTGTGTGTGTGTGTGTGTTTCTCATGGAAATGACAACTGATTTGAAAACAAAACAGCCCATTTATTTTTTTTAAACTTCCCTTGAGGTTCTTTCTATCTATCTATCTATCTATCTATCTATCTATCTATCTATCTATCTATCTATCTAGAATCTGGTTTAAAAAACTATATATGGAGGTAGTATGCTTGCCAGGAAATAAATATTTGTCTGTTTCACCAACAACATACAGGATCAGACCCAAAACCCACTGATTCAGTGAATCCAGTTGGGCCTATAAGGAGCCCAGTAATTTACCACATCCACTGGAAATGCTAACCTAAAAATGGGCAGGTGGGCCTACATTTTGTTTTTTTGATGGGCAGCTTTAGAATTTCTTTCCACTCATGAAGGATCTCAACTTAATTGGGTAAACAAAGTAAAAGTGTTTCCTGCTCTTGAAATAAAACTGTTCCTCATATATGGGAGACTAGTGGAGGATCCAGTACATGATAATATATCTGTACCAGTGTCCCTCTTCTGAGAGGGCAATGTTGAACATCTATATTAATTAACATAGCCGTCCCCCCTATGCATACCCTCTCAAAAGTGACTTTTTGGACATAGAGGGGATGTTCAGAATTCTATGCTTCTACATTCTCTGTATAAACAACATAGACAGTCAGACAACCCTTATCTCAGAAAGTATCTGCTCTATCCACTCAGCAGATCAATCAGCTATTTAAAAGAGACATGTCAAAGAAAAAAATAGACAATAAAGTGAAAATTCAATATTAAAATATCCTGCTAACCTTCTAGCTTTGGTTAAGCAATAAGCAGAAGACCCTGGTAGAAACAGCACTCATTAGATGTACAGATAGATATAGCAATAGAAACCGTTCAGACAAAAGGCAATTCAATATCACTGTGTCCTTTCCAGACTACCTAGAGTATCATGGCATAGGAGGCTTGATTGCTTTAAAACAACAACAACAACCAAGCAAATTCTAAACTAAAAGTTCGGTATGGCTTTTTAGCATTTTCCTGTGGACGTTTTTTATTTGGATGTAAAACGAAAATAATAGGGATGAAACCATTTTATTTCACCCCTTGTTTAAAAAAGCCAACAAACTTAGAAACCAAACAAAACTTACCCAAGGTAACCTAGTTACAGATGTGTATGAGGTCTTATTTTATTCAACAAAAAGTGATTAAAATCTGTTAAAGGGTTTAATTAAGAGAATTAAATGAAAAGGAAGGGGGCACAAATGAGTTGGAAAAAAGCAAAGCTATTCTAAACGATTAAATCGCCATTTTAACAGTATAATGGGGTTTGCATACTGAAAAGAGAAATCAGAGCTCATATCTCATCAATAATTCATAGGAACCCGGGATCATTCTGAGGTCAGCAGACTAGCTTCCATCTAGGAGCGCTAAGACACCCTATCAAAATACAATAGTTATATCTCCCACGTACACTGGGGTCTGCAGGTCACAGGTTTAAGAACAACCTAAACTGCTTTTCTGAAAGAAAAATAAAAGCCCGAGAAGAACTCGCGAATCAAATTTATTGGTTGTTAATACCAAAAAGGTTTTGAAAAGAGCCATCAAATTGGAGATGGTCATATTGCTCCCATCTAGCAAGAGCAACAGTAACAAATGTGACAAATGCATTTTTTGGCAAGCCAACGGGTCATTTTGCAACACACGACCCCAAATTCTCCCTCTCTTTATTAAAAAAAAGAGAAGGTTGGAATAATATTGTTTTCTATCTATCTGGGCAAAGATAATCTGGAAGGGAGAGGGATGAGTAGCTGTAATTTACTGATTCTTTTTTTGAAAAAAAAAAGATTTTCTGTTTGTTTGTAATAGTCTTGCGAATCATCCCAACCTACGCACAAATAACCCTATATCTGAGGGTTTCACATCACTGTTTCACAGGAAACCAACCCCCTTTCGTGAAAACACTCTCCAGAAAATGCAACAATAGAATTTCAATTGCAGAAAAATTTCTCGTGTCCTCCCCCCATTTAAAAATAAAATTAATTATTATTATTAGTTAGAACTGAACGGAGCTAAGTAACATAATTATTTAAAATTCACATGATAAAAGATCGTTCCGCAATTAGGAAACCCAAGAATTGTTGAAGTGATTTCTTTCCGTTTGTATCTTCGTCGGGAGGGGGGGGGGTGTCTCTGTCAACTCATGGATTTAATTTAAGAATAAAACTTTCCTTAAGAATACTGGAAAGTTCTGATTATTTATCTCGAATATCTGACTGACCCTCTATCATCTTTTCTCCCCTCGTGTTAAATAAATGGCAGTTTAAAGGGGGCACAGAAAACTTAGCTAGAGAGGTGTCTACCCTGTGCAGTTTTTCCATGTTCGCTTAGCCTAACTAGCTTAAAAAAGAAACTATTTTGACAGGAAGCGTTGAAAGAGTAAGACTGTAGGAGTTTTCTTTTCTCTCTCCCTCTCTTTTGATGTATGTCAATTTAACATATATAGAGATACATACATATATTAGCCCTTCATGTCAAAACAAATCACAGCATATTTTTAAAAAAAGGGAAGATGTAGTTAGCTTAGTGGCAAATTATTTTTTAAAAAAGATCTTTAATTTAAAACAGTAGAAATCGGAGGGGAAATGATTTGGGAAGAAAATCTGGGAAATCTTTGAGCCTGTAACGTCCCCAAGCAACCAGCAGAGCTCGCTTCAGACCAAGTTCACAGTCATGACAGGGTCTCTCTGAGTTGCTCGCTATAGTAGCTAAAGCTTGGCTTTTGGTCTCTGTCGGTTCTTTTTTGTGCCAAGCCCCCCTCCTCCCCGCCCCAACACCTCCCCACACAAACGTATCTCTCAGACCTCCAGTCCCCCACAGATAACCAAAAGCTCCTCTAATCACCCAGTCCTCCAGCGCGGGGAAGAAAAAAAAATTAGAACAGGCTAATTACTGCAGTCAACAACTCACCTAGTCAACAACTCACCTATTTGACATCCCATTAGGCAAATAAAACAGAAATAATTCAAAATGAGATGAATCCAGCTGTGGTTTAAGGGACTTTTTTTTCCTCTTGTTCTTCTAAACACACAGAGATAAAAGAAAAGTGTAAAGGGGGAAAAAAAAAACGGACAGCCTATGAACCTGGTGACTTGATGTGGAGAAACACGTCTAATGTTTGCAAAGCCTGGACATTTTGTCCCCCCTTGACAAAGAAGGAACCCAGAAATGTTAAGAGGGTTTTAAAAACAGGGAAATCTGTACAGCTTTACTTTCTGAGGACGTAGAAGGTGACTATGGTCTTTGGGGGGCTTGTTAGTACAGCATTATAGCTCAAGGGGTCAAAAAGTTGAGGGTCAAAAGTTTACGCTGTGCGTGACTCAGTCTTGTGTATAGCCTGATAGACTGGATGTCAGTGTTTAAAAAAAAAGGGTAGTGGTTTGGCGAAGGGGGTAGGGTGGAGAGAGGAAGGATCCTTTTCTTATGGGCAGAGATGAGAGAAAATGATAGCGAGGTAAGAGAGAGAAGGGTAACAAGCTGCCAACCTAGAGAGAGAGAGAGGGTGTGGGGTTTAACAATTCGGAATGGAAGCCGGTAGAAAATAAGGTGGATTTATTTGGTTGGATCTCCAGTGAGGAAATGTGCAGTGACTTCTAAATACTTTGTTTAAAAAGATAACCTTTGAAACACCATATAGAATCTAATTAAAAGAATACAAGGGCAAAATACATGTATTAAATCCAATTACATGGAAGTCCCTATAGGATATTAACATGAGCTGTTATGCATACATATATATATTACTTTAGAATGAAAACTCTTTTATATATATATGAGCTGTTATGCGTATATATAAATGTATATATATGACTTGAGAATGAATATTCTTATATATATTTATAAACTTTTATTCTATCGTCACGTATATATTATATAGAAACAAATACATTAAGAATGTTCATTTTACAGTCATTTTCATCATTTTAACCTCCAGACTGAATGTTCTAACACTTTAAATATATACTAATGAAAATACTGTTTACAAAAGATCTAAAGGACAAAATCAACATTATTGATAGTATATACAATAAGTGTTGGCATTTACACCTCAATTGTATATAATCCACAATGCCGCCTGCTATACACAATAAATAGGGTGATAGTTAACAAAATATTAAATGCACATTAAGGCTTTTTGGAAAAGTATCCATTATGCCCTTTAGTCCAGTTTAACGATCTCATTTTGCTCTTCCCTAGACTTTCCTTCTGAATTTGAATTAAATGTGTTATATTTATTGCTAGAAATGTGAATCCATTCTGGCCAGTTGCAACAGTTTAATGAACTGATTTAATAAATATTTCCCTTGGCATTTAACAGTTATTTCAACATTCACTGCTGTACTTCGCATCTCCAAACTTCAAATATTATTTTTATCAAGGCTGGGGGTGCAGAAAGCTACTTTTCAATAATAGCGTCTAAAGCAAACATTTGAAGCTATGCCGACTCTTAAAAAAACATCGCAAATTCGCTTTTGTTCTCGTTTTTAAAAATCTGCAGTGACTAAATACTTATTACAAGCATCGTTTTTCTTGGAAAAATAGAGGGAGAGAGAATGTTAGAATCCTGGGAAAGGCATCTTGGATAACCCATTTGCTTTGCCGATTTGAGTATGTTCATACAGTGGGTGAAATTCGAGAGAATGTAAAGCGTTTTGTTTCGCGTGATAAGGCGGGGTTTAATTAATTACCACGAATTTGCTTGGTATTTATAAAATATCACTATATAAGAGCTACCGTTTAGTGCTAACTTGGGCCATCCATCTTTTCGCTCTTGTAATTATTATACTTATCTCTGTAGAACAGTCATTTCAACTCCAGGTTTATACAACAGGTAATGGATAACAACTGCCAGTTGTTGTCGGGATATTAACACAAGCAGGTATAATTTCAAGGCAATCCTAATAATCATAACAACGTTTAACTTTCATTTTAGGAATGCAAATCTCTACTGTTCTCTGGAAGATTCACTTGAAGTAACAAGTTTAAAAAAAAAAAAAAACCCAAGCCAAACCAAACCAAAAAAACAAGGAGAGGAAAGGAACATATTATTTGCAAGGATATTTCTAGTTTATCTACCTTGTTTTCCCCCGTTGCACCGTGTCTGAGTGTGTGAATTTGTATATAACATAAAAGAAGTCGAAATAAAATTAAAGAAGGTGATTTCTACAAAAACAATAGATTAAAGGTGCTTCTAATCCCAATTTACTTTTCAAATTACTTGTTCTGTCATTGGAACAAGCAGGATGCTACATTTAGAGTGTGTGTGGATAGATAGATAGATAGATAGATAGATAGATAGATAGATAGATAGATAGATAGATAGATAGATAGATAGATAGACAGGACTGTAAACTCCCTGCAGGCGGCTTTAAAAAAATGTATGTAGCCTATATGACTCAGGTATCCTAGAGATTATTAACCTTTATCCCCTTAGTAATGCATACTACAGCCATCATTTCTATTTGGGTATTTAAAGGATAGGGGGAAATGTTGCACTTCTTTCTTTCAAGTACAGATCTTTGTAAATTGCTGTAAAGCGTTTAAAATAAAATGATCAGAAAACAGACGATTTAAACCTTCAGTGAATCGTTTGCCTATAGAGGAAAAACAGAGGTGAGCTGTTTTCCGTCTAAACTTACACTCACTCGATTTTTTTATTATTAATATTTAACTGTGATCTAGATCAAGTTTCCTTTTATTAAAAGTCCCATCCTATAGAATCACCTCAGACCTTCATGGCTTCGCGTTATGTGGAGGAAGTCCTTGCTTACTACGAGACACCAAAACGTTGATGCTTTCGATAGCAAAGAAAGCAGGGGCGGCAGTCATGACTGGATGACTAGGACTCCTTCAAAAAAAAATCTTCAAAGGGAAATTTACAAACACAATGGTGTGCGCTCAGCTCTCTTGGAATTTCAAGCAATCGAGGAAAGGTCTGAATAAAATTCTTTGCCCTGCCATTTTTCTCCAAAGTAATGACCTGGGTAAAATTCAATATGACCGAGAGAACTATGCAAGCGTATTATAGACCAGTGGGAGCGGCCCCCGGAGTGGGTGAAACTCAGGTCAGAGCGTCTAACAAATATTAAAATGTTCGAGAGACTCGGGACACGCCTAGCTGTTTAACAAAGACTGACAAAGTATGCGATTAATACGAAAACTTGCGGGTTTCCAAACCCAAAATACTCAGAAGGGCCTATCGTTTGCTCCCTGCCAGTAGCAGGGTTTTGTTTGCCTTTAAAGACAATGCTGGGGGAGGCGGGGGGGTGCGAAAGAGGGGTTCTTATCGAGAAATAATCCCTGTCCAGGGGGAAGATAGCAGAGAGGAACTCGGCTCTCGGGGTTGGGGGTTCTTTTATTTGTTTCTTTTGTGCCCGGGAAAGCGTTACGAACTTTTGTGGAGCTTCCTCAAACGGTATAGGAGACTGTTTTCAGCTGGGGAAGAGGAGGAGGGGGGCTTTTATTTTATTTTTTTAAAGGTACGTGTTGTTGCGCTTTCTTTTTGCTTTTTTTTTGGCGTTGCACCTAGAGAGAGAGTGGGAACGGGCAGGAAAAGGGGTGGCTTTCAGAGGTCAGACACTCAACCTGTAGAACTGAAAGGTAAGAAAAGCCTCGGGTGCAATCAGGGGGACAAGAGGTGTGGGGGTGGGGGGAGGAGAGATCGTGTACCAGTCTAGATGTCTTCTTTATCATTTTTCCCCCAAGGTAGGAGGCTATTGATGGGGTGGGGCAGAAAAGGGGCTGTTTAGGCAGGGAATTAAGGATGCAACTGAGGGGGGATTTTGCCTTGGCAGGTGTCTCACCACTTCAGCGATCCTCTCCTTTTAAGCTCCTTCTCTCGGAGCCTTTTTTATGGTCTTAATGGTTCCAGCCCTCCCTCCCTCCTGCTTTCCTTTTATTGTACAATATAAATAAACAGTGAGGCGGCAGGCCGACCGTCGAAAGGGAGAGAGGTAGGTTTGGATGGCGGCTAAGCGGCTTCCCCCCCCTTTGAAATGGAGAGAGAACATTGGCTAGATCTATCTTTCTAAACTTCCGAAACGTTAGACGTTTTTATGAGCGGAATAGAAAGTGTGAAAAAAAACTGCAGGCGTGTGTGTGTGTGTTGGGGGGAGTGCGGGGCAGTATCCTTGGCTTTTTAATTCGGGATCTGTTGTGTGAGACTTCTGGAAAAAAAAAAGATTTCTGGCAAACACTAGGGGTGCTGGTGCTGCTAAAACCCCTTTGTCTGTCATTGCAAAGGAAAATTAAAACGGCATGTTTTGGGGAGGGGGCGGTAAGGGAGCCGGGTATCAATCCAGAATAGGCCCTACCTAGATGTGTATGTTTAAGGTGTAGGGTGTACCGGTGTTGGTGAGGATATTACTGCTGTTGGGGAAATTAACAAAAGGACGGGGGCAGATGGAACCGAAATATAAAAGTGTAGTCCGACTGGACTGGTTTGGCAGAATTGGTTTATTATTGTTTCAGTCTTTACCTGGTTCTAGCAGATTTCATTTGGATTCTTATGTACTTAGAGCACACTTTCTAGAAGGCGGTCTATTTCAGAATCACTGTCTGTTCCCCAGTACACTTGAGGGGTCTGAGGCATTTATGCAGGCTTGGGACCTCCTTGTCCGGTGTGAAAGGCATTATAAAGCAACCCGCGAGATCTGCTTGGTGTGCAAGAAACTTTTTGGGAGTGTTAGACGCTGGGGAGATTGCAAAGGGTAGATTTTGCCAGTTCTCGTTGAGAAGGGCTCTCGATTGCATTACCTTGCGAGCGATACAGTCGACTTACCTTTAAGCAGCCGGAAAATCTTAACGCCTGATGTGTCCCAAGCAAGCGGTGTTCATTCATTCTCTGCCATTACAAGGTCTTTTTCTTTCTTTTTTTTTTTAAAGCAGTGCTATTTGAAATACGTTTCGATTTGAGGGGAGGGGAAAAACAGTATTTCCAGCCAATGAAGGGGGAAATGTAGCATCTTTATGGCATCGTCTGTGACTGGGTGCTGTTAAAATATGATTAAATCGGAAATATTCGAACAGAAACGTGTGTTGCTCCCTTCTGATCTTTTTTGGGTGGGGTTGGGGTGGAGGAGACTGTTATACTTTTAATCTCTGGAGCTACTGGAATTTTAAACGAAGTGTCAACACGATGTTATTCTCATTCGCTCCGAATCAAGGTTCATTAGCTAGACAGTATGAATATTTTATTGCTTTCGGAAATGAAACTCCTTTGATCTTTTTCTCGGGTTATAAAAAGAATTGCCTGTCATAAAAAAAAAGAAAGAAAAAGAATATCGTCCCATCTGCCTTCACATTCTGTATTTATTTTCCTCTGTTTCTCTCCCCCCTCCCCCCGTAATTTACTTTTATAACAAAAAAACTTTGGATGACCTTCAGAAACTCAACAACAACAAAAATTTTGAAATGTTTGTCTCTGTTGATCAGTGGATGATATTGAAACAACCACATTTGGAGTGAATATTAACTATTACATTTACATTTGAAATGAATGATAATTTGGGACTCTACTTATGTTTTTAGATATAGTCCAGGACTCATTTTTTTTTGGGGGGGGGACAACATAATGCTAAACTAATGTTCAGTGTATCCATGAATAGGGAGGAACGTACTGTATTACTTTGGTAGCCTAACAATTACTAGCTCTATATTTCGAATGGGTGAATTTCATTATTTGTGTTTCCTTTGGAAAGTGGAAATTTTAACCATATTTATCCATAGATTAATTCTTTTAGTGACAAATCTCTTGTATTAAAAACAGTAATACTAATAATAAATTAAATCGAAGAGAATGATTACAGTTAAGTGAAGTTAGAAGATTTCTGACCAAGAAAGATGCATCTGTCTTCTATATGTACCCTGTAGATCCGAATTTGTGTAAAGGAAGTTGTGTCACAAATTCGTATCTAGGGGAATATGTAGTTGACACAAACACTACAGTCATTCTCCCTGAAGAAAAAAAAAAAACCTAAATAACAGGATGAAAAGAAGCTTTGGCCAGAAGATCGTTTTATAACTGAAAAGAAATATTGGGGGATTTACCTAAACTCCCAACTCTAGTACTCCTGTGGCAAACTTTATCACCTCGTTGTAATAAAAATCTGAGCTGCTAGGGGTGTCAGAAGTCTTACATCACTGAAACTCAGGAGGGAAAACTCTGTTGCTTTAATCTGTATAATTGCTTAAAATACACTAGGTATAAATAATCCAGCCAAACGCTGCCCTGTTTCCTGATTTTTATGAAGGGATTATTAGTTGCTTCGATTTTAAAGACCCGTCCAAATGTTGCTTTTTTAATCATGTTTATTACAATGTGGGAGAAGGGAACAGCACCGAGGCTAGTTAATTTTATCTTTAATTGTCCATAAAGCCCTTTATTTCGTGTTCAGGGGAAGGGCTCTCTTCCACCCATGGCTGGAAAATGGTCAATCGGATCCCGAAGCTAAATGTGATTTAGGAGCCCCGGTACCCCGAATTAGCTGATGGATTTTCTATCGACCCAGAACAAGTCCTATTTATCTCTGCCAGTATCGCAGCGCATAGTCGCTACTCAACCCGCTTCATATCACCGCCATTAAGACCGAAATTTAAACACCAGCCAGAGGGATCTCAATGTATCATCTGCCAGGGCATTCATTTTGATCCGGAGCGGACTTCCCTCCCCATCCTCCCCCATATTACTGAAAATAATCTTTTTTTTTTTTTTCCTGTAACACACAACTAACCCAAGACACACCTACTGGAGGGAGTGGGGTTTTGTTATCCCGAGGGATTAAGTGGTGACATTAGGGGTTTAGAGCCTGAGATGCTAATCCGGGTAAGTAACATTGTGCAGGAGCAAGACATTTCACCCTTGCTGAAAATATGTAAATATTGGTGATTAAAAAAAAAAAATCCTACAGGAGTAAGAATGCCCCTGTGTGAGCATATTTCCTTATCCGGGAATCGCAGGGAACCTCGCCATTGGCCGCCGGTGTCACATGGATTCCTAACTTTGTTCACTTGACAGTATGTAGGAGGGTTTTACGAAACAGGAAAACGAGTAGGGGGGGATAGGAATAAATTTTAGTATTTGTGTGTGTGTGTGTGTGTGTGTGTGGTGTGTGTGCAATTCAAAGAAATTAATGGCCATGAGTTCGTTTTTGATCAACTCCAACTATGTGGATCCCAAGTTCCCACCCTGCGAAGAATATTCTCAGAATGATTACCTTCCCAATCACTCTCCGGGATATTACAGCAGCCAGAGGCGAGAGACCACTTTCCAACATGAGGCGATGTACCAGCCACGGTCAGCCTGCAACGAGCCGCCCTACCCAGCTTGTCAGGGCTCCGGCCACCAGCCAGCGGTGCTATCCCCAAGGGGTCACGTTCATCCTTCTGCCGGACTTCAGAGCCACCTCTCAGAGGCAAATCACCACTGTGAGTCGGTCACCCCCAGCCCTCCTCCACCCTCCTGTAGCCAAAACTCTATGAACCAAAGCCCATCTCATTCTTCTTGCAAAGAGCCAGTAGTTTATCCCTGGATGAAAAAAGTCCATGTAAGCACGGGTAAGTGAACTAAAGTGGCTTTTGCTTTATACTAACTAGCACCTAAAAGTCTTGTGGAAAGCCTATTGCACCAGTTGTAAAATAACCATTCGTGGAGATTTACGATCGCCTGTTTGCAGAGCAGTATAATTACATCCTCCATAAATTTTTATGGCTCTACTTGGCCAAGTGCCTTTGAAGTCTCTGTTACCATCCTCCTCCAATTTCTTGCAGGGTACTTTTTTATGGTTGTTGAATCTTCGTAAGTTAAGTTTTATGTTTTTGTAATTTGTATTTAAGTGGTGGGTTGAGTAAACTTTTACTATGTTTCCTCTCTCTCTCTCTCTCTTTCTCTCTCTCTCTTTCTCTCTCTCTCTCTCTCTCTCTCTCGACGTGTTATTACAAAGAGAGGGTGTATGTATGGGGGGGATTTTATGGATTTTAAAGAGCATAGATGGTGTGTGTATATATATATGTATATAATATACTTGCACCATCTATGTTATCGAGGAGAGTATGTAAAATATATCTAGGGAAGTTTAAAACTCATATAGACATGGATGTACGTCATGCAATCAGGCTGGAGAGAGGGGGTTGGAGATGGGTTAAGTGTATATTTTTGGAAGATCGTGGTGCATCTTTCTGCTTCGAGTAGTCTCCCAGCAAAACAGCGTGTGACACTTAAAAAAATTAAAAGGGCAGCTCAGTAATTCTTTTTTCTCTTCTTCCCCACTCCCCTCTTTGTGTTTGTTCAGTAAACCCCAGTTGCACAGGAGGGGAACCGAAGCGCTCCCGGACAGCTTATACCAGGCAGCAAGTCCTGGAACTGGAGAAAGAATTCCACTATAATCGCTATCTCACGCGGAGGCGCAGAGTAGAAATTGCCCATTCTCTTTGCCTGTCCGAGCGCCAGATCAAAATATGGTTCCAGAACAGGAGGATGAAATGGAAAAAAGATCATAAATTACCCAATACCAAGATCAGGTCTAATTCTTCCAACTCTTCTGCAAGCCTGCAGATACAAGGAGGGTCTCAGAACCGAGCCAATGCACCAGCCACTGGCCTATAACTGTTTCTTGTGTGTGTGTGTGTGTGTGTGTGTGTGTGTGTGTGTGTGAGAGAGAGAGAGAGAGAGAGAGAGAGAGAGAGAGAGAGAGAGAGAGAGAGAGTGTAGGAGACACATGATAATTTTTTTATGTTCCAAGGGGCGTAACGGGGGCATACTCTTTATTTATAGAAAAGGAGGGAAACTCAGCTACAAAACAAACAAACAAACAAACAACAGAGATGTGCTTTTGTGCTCCCTCCCATTAAAAGAAGGCTGTGGATAGTAGTTTTCAAATTTGGCTAAGATGAATCCTTGTTTCATCTTTAATCACGCCAAACTCTGCCCCATTTGTCATGTTTACTCTCCCGTACAAAGGATGGACCTTATGCTTGCTATTACCTCGACAACCAGTGTTCACTTTAATAAATGAGGCTCAGTTTCTTCAAGAGGAACTGAATTTTCTTTTCTTTTCTTTTCTTTTGCTGCCTACCAGCCCCAAAGCGAAAGTTTCTGTTCAGATCCCCAAGGGCATAGCAATTCTGGCAACGGTAACACAGCCCTACAGACCAAAAACAAACAAACAAACAACAACAACCCCAACTCCATGCGGTATGAGGACGGGGGGGACTGAATAGATGTTGAGTATCGTAACGATCAGGGTCATATAGCTGGAGAACGAAGAGATTGGCACAATTTAAAACAAACCGAGTGAAATTTGGGGTGGGGCTGGGGCTGGGAAGGAGACCAACATAATGGAGACTTATGTAAGAAACCCCCTGCCACTTTTGAGTCCAGCAGGTTAATTACCTCACTTGTAAATCTTGGGGGGGGGGGGCAACGTATTTAGTTTAGAAACTTGATGATCAAGTAATGCCACCTGAATTTAAACGTTCGTCAAAAGGGGTGTGGGAAGGGAGGGCTCTTTGTAAAAAGGATGCTTCTCCACTAAGATTCAGTCCATTTTTGTACTGAGAATGTGTATAAAAAATGGAAGCTGGGGATCCCCTTCTTTCTTGATGGAAAAGGGGTTATGAACTTCGAACAGATTTATTTTTTTCTTTCCATGTTCTATAGTACTTGACATTCCGAGCTGATGTGATTTCAAAGAACTTTTGGGATCTTCGTTTCCCCCTTCCAGTTGTTCATTTGAATTACCTCCTATTGTTCTTTGTGATATTCATGATAACTTGTACATAGCAGAACGAAAGCAAGTAGAAATAAAATTTTCGTTGTGACTATAACCCGTGTGTGTTTAAAAAAATAAGGTTTTTTTTTTAATTTAAAATGTTTGTTAGTTTTATAAGGATTTCTGTCAATTGCACCTCGCTAATGAAAACAAAATGTGTTTGACTATAGGGTATCTCAGTCTTAAGTACTGCTAAGCCTTACATATTGTGATTTATTTATTCTATGCACATATTAATATGGTTGTATGATATGTTCACAAACTGGTTTCAACTGTGTTGGGTCATTAAAGCGCTACATTGTATTAAGGAATTAAAGCAGCTGTGTATTCCTCAGGAGAGGCTACTTCATTTTAAAAAAATCTCCTTCTCCAAGGTATTTAATGCATTAATGAGTATAATTTTTGCACAGATGTTTCTCGGTGTTTGCAGGTTTTCTGTGTATTTTTATATTACAAAGGAGCTGGCTACTGCAATAGCTCAAACCCTGACAAGCAAATAGATAATCAAGAAGACAAATGGCTTCTTTTGTGAGCCACAGCTCTTGTATTAATTTTCATTTTCTTGCTCATAGAAAGTATCGAAAATACTGTTCAGGGCGAAATAACATTCCAGTTCTAAGTTACATTTAAAAAAAAAAGAAGAAGAAGAAGAAGAAGAAGAAAGGGGTGGGGTGTGCTTGTGGGAAGGAGGCCTCTAGACCATACAAAGAAAATCATAATTTTCTGAATCATTCCCAATAAGAAAATGGTTTTCGCTTATTTATGAGATTTTATGAATTTGTCTCGGCCTCTAAGTCATGATTAAAATACCCCACCACGTTATTAAGAACAAAGACCTGGCTTGGGATATTTAAAGTGGTAGAATGGCTATTTCTGTTCTTAGGGTACTCAGCAATTTAACTCAGACCTTGCAAACAAACTGCCTTCAAAAGTTGTTCCTTCCTCCCACACCTCAATAAATCGCCCATTACGTCTTTTACTCTGTTGACTTTGTAACAGTTTGTAAGAAATATGTATATGGTCATGTGACACAGAGCCGCTGCACGTCTTGTGTTGGAAAAACGGAGTTGTGTATGTATTTGATTAACTTTTGCCCCTTTAAAGGCAAAAAGAGCAAACCTTCCGAGTTTTTATTTCGATGAGGGGTGGTCGGGACTGCACTTATTTTGATGGCTGATTCCCCCCCCCCCCTTTGATCTGCTTCCTATGTAAAGGCGATGCAATTTTCAGATAGAGGCTATGCTCTTAAGGGTACCAAAACAGTTCTTAAAAAGCATATGTTGTTAGGAATGCAACTTCTATAGAACTAAATCAAAGCTGGAAAGTATGAATAGAATTGAAGGGGGAGAAAAGAAGATTTCTATAGGACCTAAAAGTTCACAGCCATTATAAGCAGACAGAAGCCAAGAAAAATGCGAGAATTATACAGAAAATCATTAATCACTTCTTTTCTTTAAATACTTATCCTTTCCCCATTGTTATTCAACAGCAAATCTCCGCAGACCGTCTGTTGGGAAAAAAGTACCCGGAGTCCTACAAAAATCTTCAAGGGGAATAATAACAATAAAAAAATCTGGATCATAAAGTTGAAAACTTTTATTTATTTTTTTTTTTGGAAAACAAAACGGAACAAACAACAACTCTCACTTGGGAAGAAACCACTCAAACCATGAATACCATCTATTGGGCGTTGGAAAAAGGATGTGGGAATGCACAAGGTAAAAGAACCGACTGCTTGGCATGCATTTTTGATCGTTTTATTGCCTCTTTTCAAGAGTAAGTTGTTTTTTTGGGGGGGGGGGCACATGAATCCTTTACGGGATTTTCCTCGGTTTCCTCATTTTATTTTGTCTGAGGGGGAGAGAGAAAAGAAAGATATCAAATGGATTACATATAAAGGGGATGCTAAAAACCCGTATTTTTCCATTTTATGGTGTGAATCCTATAGAGTTTGGCTTTGCTCGGATAATTTTTTTATCTCATGGAATACAGAGGAAAAGCAGATAGCTCAGACATTGGCCTTTTTGTGACCAAGACAGCCTTGCTATTTCAAATTATATTCCTCCATGTTCTATTTTGCCTTCTTGAAGCTTTGCAACCTAAATTAAAGGGCTTTGTACAAACGTCACGTGTGACTATGGAAAGATCAGTCTGGTAGATGATTTCTTTTTTCGTGTGTCAGATGTTCCTTGGAGGAATAACTGTGTTCGAATCCTTTAGCCAAATCAGACTTTTTGAGTTTCTCGTTTCTGCTTAGAAAAGTTGTTTTGTGGAAGGGTTTGGCCTTTAGAGACCGTGTTTGCGTGAGCCGCGCTTGTCTGATTGCTGTTTGTTTCAAGACTTTTTGCATTTTACTGGGGAGGCTGAAAGGCAAAATAAACAAATAAATTGAGGCAAAATTCTGAGCTGCCGAGCACAGATCGCATAGAGGGTTCACCCAAAGGACACGTTTTCTAACTGATTAGCTGAGTATTATAGCCAAGGATTGACCTCTCAAACCCCTTGACCTTTCCAAGACTGGACATTGTGCTGTGTAACATTTCCAGCGTCGAACTGGACGGGGGCTAAGGCAAACTTTGCACCTCCGGAAAGAATCTTTTAAACCACGCGTGTTCATGGTTGTTTCTTAATGTTGCCATTGCTGGGCCAGCGCGGGGAATGCAGAGGAAAGGCGTCCCAGAACGATCGGATTTTTTGTGTTTGGTTGTTTGGCTTTTAATGTCTTAGTCATTCTATATTCAATCTGGTCACAATGCATTGTTTCTCTTCCTGGCTTTGGGTTTCATCTCAAAGCACAGAGGGTCTCCACTGTAAAAGACAAAGGGCAGCTGAGTTTTTTAGAGTCGGGAAGCTTGCGGTCAGTGCAAGGGGAAAGATCTCTGGGCTGGCTCGGCCACTTGGGTTTGTTTTGTTTTGTTTTGTTTACCTCTCAGGAGAGGGCTTTCTAAAAAGGATCCTTACACTACCCCAGCCAAACGCCTCTCACTTTTCCTCAAACCTCAGCTATCTTCTCCCTTCCAGAAAATCCTTTGTTTCGGAGCGTCTCCTCTCTCCCCCCCGCCCCCGCTTTTCCTCCCCCCGCTCCTAGCCCACAACACTCTCAAAAGCCCTTCACAGCTCGTCTGTATCTGCTAAAGGGGTGTGATATTTGCTGATGCAGTCAGGGATTTCTTTTTGATGGTGGTGGAGGGGAGGGGAGGGGGGGCTACAGGAGGGCAGGCGGTAAGGGTGGTTATCGGTGAATGTTGTTGAAACCACCTCGCTCCTTTGCAAATTGTGGCCTTCGGTGGCTCACGATGGCCCTTAGTCCTGATAGCGAGGAACACTTATATTGACACGGGGCAGCGTTTACACAGTCACTCCGGGGTTTGATGAACTCTAAACGGCGAAGGATGAAGAACTGTTTTCGGAGAGACGGGCTAAGGGCTCCGTCAGACATTTGGTAGCCCTCTCCCGACCTTGCTGGCCACCTAGAATCGTTTCAATACATGAGTTGACGCCCGCTACCTTTGTTTATATCGGCGCGGTGCTCAGTGACTTAGGGGCGACTCCGCTTCATAGCTGTGTCAGGGGAACCTTGGGAAACAAAGCATGAACGACTCATCGTTCATGAGCAGGTATTAAAGCCACATACCCAGCCAGAGACAGGCCAGGTGTCTTTTGGAGTCTCCGTTTAGATCTCGATATGACACCTGATGGTTCGACTCATCGCTCTGAGATTTTACTCTTCCGACCTAGTTCCTGGTGGAAGAATGTAAATATTTTTAATCAGCATGAGTCTGAAAGGTGTCTCCTTGGGACATGGCCTTTCTGTCCCATGCACTTCTTTGTTCGCTCCGCCTGCGTCTTGAAATCGAAGCCGGACCAAAAGTCTATTGCATCAAACCAACTGGAATAGCTTGTCTAGTTGCCATTATGATCTGAGATGTATTTATTTGGAAGCCAGAGCAAATATATATACATATACATGGATACAGGGCATTTAAATCTATCTATCTATCTATCTATCTATCTATCTATCTATCTATCTATCTATCTATCTATCTATCTATCTATCTATCTATCTATTATTAAAATACAACGCGCGAGATTGTCTCTGTATAATATAAATATACGTGGGGAAAAGTATTTATATACAAATACTTTCAAACACACACCGGGAAAAATTTTATGTTATAGGTGTCTAGGTGTATCGACACCTTGTTGCAGTGTTCGGGTTCCTTCAAATGTTCCTCTTTGAGTAAGGACCTGGGTGGTGGGAGCAGTTTGGGAGTTTCTCTGCCTGAACACCTTCCCCCTGACAGATTTATGATCTCCAATAAAACTGGCGTGTTTAAATTCGTAAATCAATCTCCCCTTCTCACTATATAAACGCTCATTTTATCTCTCGAAAGAAAGCTGCTTTGATGATAGCCCCTCAGAGGCTGAGGGTGCTGTTTATGGCCGCATTTCCTATTCTTTGAACTTTTAGCGAAAGTTGCTCTTCTTAGAAAAAAAGGCAGCCGGATTTTTCCTTTTTTGTTTGTTTATTTTGGGGCAAGCAACATTCGGATGAGGGATAGTTTGTTTGTTTGTTTGTTTTTTTAAGGGCTCCACTGAAGGAAAGTGTGTGGCTTTTCAGTTTACCCCCTCCTACTCTGATAATGTCCCAAATTGAAAAATCATCTAATTTAAGGGGTGAAGGAAGTTTGCTTTATTAGGTAACTGCTCCTCTATCAACATACAGTGACACCGAAAGGATGTTTTAAAAAGAGAGAATACATTCACTTTTCCTTTTCTGTGTTCCTCTCTCTCTGTATTACACCTTCACCCAGAATTTTTAGCCGAAGGTTTTGGGGTTTTTTTAAGAAATTTCACACAATAAGGTCTATGCTTTAAAAACAAGTGTGAAGCTTTTCCAGGCAATTTGCTCCCGTATTCATTTCCTGAAGCTTTAAACAGCCCTTTCAGCCATCACAACCACTTCAAAATGTTGCCTGGATTGAACGCTGGGTTTGAATTTTCTCACCTTTTATTAATTAGTTTTTAAACTGTATTCTTTCAGGTAGCTGCTTTCCTAGAGAGTGGATTATTAAACGCCGGACAACTCTCGCTAAACCTCCATGCCTATCTTTATTTTATCTATGTTTAGAGGTATTCCCAGGCTTGCAAGAGTAGAGCTTTATAGTCAAACGCATTCCACCTTGTCTGTTACTCCAGGTCTCACACGGTTCTATTGTTTGATCTTCAGTGGCTCCTTATGCCTTGTATCCATTCCATTGTTTGAGGAGGTGAGACCGTCATCCTTAGCACCTGAAATGGGATGAGGGACCCCTACGCTAGATTTGTAAAAAAATCTTAGCTTCCTTGCAGGGCTGAAAGAAAACCAGTGTCGCAGCTATGTCTGTACATCCGTGTGCCTGTGTTTATGTAAACATATGTAAGTATGTTGCTACATACAGACGTGTGCACATTGTTTTGTGTCAGTGAGGCATTGCCTGCTTGGGATTTGGTCCATAGGCAGCTTCTTGTACATTCACTATAAGCAGCTTCCTTTGTTGGCCAGGATTCCGTTTTGGGGCATCTCAGCTCAGAGCCAAAACCGACTTCAAAAATGCAATAAAGACTCACAAAACAATAACAGCAGAAGCTCTTGCCCTGTATCCTAATGGGAAATTCTTAAAAAAAAAAAAAATCTGGATCCATGAGCATAAATATCCTCAGAGGACTTTGGAGCCTAAAACTGTTGTTCTAGTCAGTGTAATAAAATGTCAGGGAGAAAAGCATTATGTGCCTAGCAGGGCAAAGAGGCATCAGGATTGGGGAAAGTGTTTAAATATTCTAAACTTCGAGGGGAGTGGGGGTGGACACCCTAACGTTGCGTCCTTTACCAGACATATGTATATTACTGTATATTGTGCTGTGTATACACTCATCCCACGTTCACACGCCTGTGCAAGTATGCATATATGTTTATAGAAATAACTAGGTAGCCAGAATATCTCTGTAGATCTAGCATGTTACATTAAATTCTAAACTTTTTTTTTTTTGGGGGGGGGGATAAACACTGTTCCAGTGGAAGGTCACAGTGGTCCTTTGAGTATGAAACTGAGAGACCCCCTTCCCCCTTCCAGATCACGTGATTCATTAAATAATTAATGCAGAGGTTGCAGAATAGATATGTATTCGTCAGGAACATCGCAGACATGGTCTCCTTGTGTCTGACGTGAAATTCAACTGTCCTTTAAAAAACAAGCCTATAGCAGAGGGGGGGAAAAAGAGAGAGAGAGAGAGAAAGGGAGAGAGAGAGAGAAAGGGAGAGAGAGAGAGAGGGAGAGAGAGAGAAAAGAGTCTTCAATAAAACAATTCTCAGGAAGAAAGAAGCCACGCCGAGGGTTGGATTGTTGTGAGTAGCAGGGTCTTCCCAATTCCTAGCGTGTCTATATGTCCATGTAAATTTATTGTTTGTTATTAATGTTATTGTCGTAAAATGTG